TGGTGCTCAACTCCAACTTTTATGGCTGCTGACATCTCTCATCGAGATTAATTCATATTTTTGTAGTTAAGAATACATCCATGTCTGATTAATTGTTTAGCCTCAACATTTCTGTTCTAATAAGAAAGAATAACGAAGCTATTATAATTTTTGTACTACTCTATTATCACCATTGAAGCTGTGTGTTTTGTTGTTACTAACATTGTTTGATTTGTTATAGACGTTGGATCTTAGAAAGAAAGTTAGCTTCTTCTGGAGTGCCAAAAGAGGAGCAAATCAGCATGATTAAAGATCTGGAGAGAAAAGAGACAGAGTTTATGAGGCTTAAAAGGAACAAGATTAGTGTTGATGACTTTGAGCTTTTGACTATCATTGGAAGAGGTGCTTTTGGTGAGGTTTGTACAACAGAATACTACCTGTCCCTTTTATTCTTACTTATTCTTGCAGCTCGAGCATGTACAACTTAACCGAGACAGTTTTTCTGGGTCCTTTCTTAATGAGTATGCTACTTCTAATCTTAGAAATAACTTAATCTAACTTACAGGTTCGCTTATGTCGGGAGAAAAAGTCTGGAAATATTTATGCCATGAAGAAGTTAAAGAAATCTGAAATGGTCATGAGAGGACAGGTAAAATTCGTAAAAAACAATTCAAATGATGTGCCACAGTTAAACTGATTATTGGTTTATGGTTGTCTCTGAGTTTACCTACCTTTCTTTTTCTTCCAGTATAATGACTAAAATGAATGTACATTTTGCAGGTTGAGCATGTCAGAGCAGAGAGAAACCTGCTGGCTGAGGTTGCAAGCCATTATATTGTGAAGCTCTACTATTCATTTCAGGATGCCGAGTTTCTATATCTGATTATGGAATATCTCCCCGGTGGTGATATGATGACCTTGCTCATGAGGGAGGACACATTACGGGAAGATGTTGCCAGATTTTATATTGCTCAAAGTGTCCTGGCCATTGAATCCATACACAGATACAACTATATTCATAGGTGGCTTTTGGAAATTACCTAACTTGCATGCTTCTGGTGTTAACTGTGATATTTATATATAATTTGATTGACCTTTTGTCTTTTCACTTTTGCAGGGATATCAAACCTGATAACCTACTTTTGGACAAAGATGGGCACATGAAACTCTCGGATTTTGGGCTCTGTAAGCCTCTTGATTGTAGAAATTTACCTTCAATTCAGGAGAACAAGGCCACCGATGATGAAACTATGACAGAACCTATGGATGTTGATAGATGTTTTCCTGACACTGATAACAAGAGAAGCTGGCGCAGTCCCCAAGAACAACTTCAGCATTGGCAGATGAATCGCAGAAAACTAGTATGTTAATCTTTTTGTTGGAGTGTAAAATTCTTTTCTCTCCTTCTTTTGTAGCTGTATCTCCATTTCTCTGATTTCTGTATATACCAAATGTGACCGGAGCATGGAGATATACAAATCAAAATGGGAATAATGAAAACCAAACATGATATTCTTCATATTGTAGGAGAGCGGAGAACACTTTTTCAAACTTTCATCACCTGTATTGTCTGTTTATTAATTTGTGTGGCAAGTTGACGACAACTGATGATAGTACTCTCTGCTTGGTTTCTGATTGATTTCTCCTTTTTTGAAAGGCGTTTTCAACTGTGGGAACACCTGACTATATTGCTCCTGAAGTTTTGCTGAAGAAAGGATATGGCATGGAATGTGATTGGTTAGTCTTTGCTTGAAAGTTATCATTTTTAGAATGAACTATAACCATGATGCTTGGTAATTTCCTCTTTTTATATTGCTTTAGCTATTTAAATCTCTCTGTGCTAGGAACCATTTTCTACTAGTTGATAAAAGTCTTTAATTTGTCATTTCGCAATTGTACCATAGCCTCCCTTTGAAATCTTGTGTTGGTCTCTCAGGTGGTCATTAGGTGCAATTATGTACGAAATGCTCGTTGGGTATCCTCCTTTTTATGCTGATGACCCTATATCAACTTGCAGAAAGGTATTAAATCTTGTTGTTACTTTTACGATCCTAGTGAGTTTGCTCTGTGTAAAGTATCAAACAGTTGAGCAATTTGACTGGCGTCCTATTGAACTGAATTAGACTGTTTGTCTACAAAAGTTTTAGTGCACAAGGTAGGAGAGTGTTCAATTCTATGACCAAAATTTGGATTATAAGGGTGTCAAGTTATATGGAAAAGCCACAATTTGGCCAGTTTATGCGCGTCCGAGTTAGCAAAATGTTAAAATATTATGTTCGGTCTTTTCATACATATTTGACAACTATGCTTTGATTTGTGGGTAAAATTTCCATCATCAATTCCTTCCCGTATTTGTTCTTTGTTGATGCATGTAAGAAAACTAGAGATTTTGTTTATAAGATTCACTGATCATGTTCATGAAGTCTTAATTCCTTCTGCTAGATTGTCCATTGGAGAAATCATTTGAAATTTCCCGAGGATGCGAAGTTGTCATCCGAGGCAAAAGATCTTATCTGCAGGTTGCTGTGCAACGTTGACCATAGACTTGGCACTGGAGGAGGAGCCCAGCAAATCAAGGTAAGGATGTTCCATGAGAAGATTTAGTAGTACTTAAGATAACCTCTGTCATTTTTCTTTGTTAACTTATACCTTAAATTTGCATCAGGATCATCCTTGGTTCAAGGATGTTGTGTGGGAAAAGCTCTATGAAATGGAAGCTGCGTTCAAACCAGAAGTGAACGGCGAGCTAGATACACAAAATTTTATGAAGTTTGATGAAGTATGCCGTAAATTCTTCTTTTTAATTTATCATGCATTATTTAGAAAATGTTCTCTGGAAAAATAGACCTCCCTTATAATACTTTAAGATTTATCGTAAATTATACCAGTATCAAGGTCAACATATATTAGATATTCGTAAATTCATTTTAATGTGTCTGGTTCATATCTTGCTGTGAATTTTACTAGTTATCCTGCAGATAATATCCCTTAGTTTCTGATATGCCACTTGTGATGATGGTGATAGATACCTATCTGCCTTGTATTCTGTTGGTCAGTATTGCGCAGAAAATTCATATTGATAAAGGTGTCAACCTCAACCACTCATTGATCTAATTAGGATCTTAATTGGTGACAGAATAATAATTCAAGTGAATTTGAGTAATTTTTGTATCGTAGAGGAGGCTTACTGAACTTCTTGGTTTCATCTCAGGTGAATTCTCCTGCACCTGAAAGAACTAGATCGGGCCCCTCCAGGAAGGTTTGTGATTATTATTTGTGTATACATTACATTATCTAGCGCTTTTATTTGCAAGGATATGTAGTAATCACAAACTGTAGTAATGTTGCTACTGAACTGATAGATGGAAGTGCTCGATATGTATTATCGTCTGAGATGAAACCTTTTTTTAAAGATGTTTCACTTTTGAACGATCCATCATTTTTTTCATTGTGCAGATGCTTCTTGCTCCCAAGGATTTAAGTTTTGTTGGCTACACATACAAGAACTTTGACGCTGTAAAAGGATTGCGTCATTCACTTGGTACATTCACATGACCCTACTTATTATTAAATCATTTTCAACCTCGTACATTGACTCGTGAATTCTCCTAGTCAATTAGCAGTGCCTGATAATATGTTTAAGTAAACGAGATGCAAGAATTCATTGTTGATGAAGACATTAGGAAGAATATAATTGACCCTTTCTTTTCCCATTCTGTAGAGATGGCAAGAACTATGTCTCTAGATCGATCACCAGGTAACTTGTGTTTCAACATTGAAAACTTCCTTGCTTCGTTCATTTGCCTTTTTGCGTGTTCAGATCCATAAGCTTCTTTTACAGAAATATATACATCCTGATATTAGTTTTAAGTTCATGCTGTGTTTAGTCTATGTATACAACCTTATATCACTTTGCATTCAAAAAGTGAAAACTGATAAAATCAAAACTTTTATTGCAGCTGAGGCGATGCCTGTGGAGCTAATAAGCGGGGAAGCAGCAGAGGCACAGATGGTATCATCGATGGATGATCCAATGATAATTTGAAATAACGGAACAAAGATATAAAGTCTTCCTCAGGTTTGGGATCTTAAGGCCTTCTATAAAAAAAGAACTGTACAGCAAGCCCAGAAGTTAAAGAGGAAGAAGATCAAAATGGTTTGTGTGGGAGATTGATTAACAATGTTAGCCTTTCCTGATTATTCTGTGTATTAGAAGAAGAAGACAAGAGAAGGGAAAAAGAGATTTAGAGGGATTTGAGTAAAAATCTCAGTGTTATATAAAAGCTGCCCAGGTTGGCTGTAGTAATGTTGCCTTCTCTAGTGGCAGTTTTATTGCAACATTTTTACTTTTTACCTTTGTCTGTGTGTGTATCAACTTTTATTTCTAAATTTGAAGACCCACCGAGGAGTGAGGACTTAGATTGTATATTTGAGTTTTGTTGGGAGTCGATTTCTAACCAAACTTGGATACTTGAGTTTAATTCTTTGTTAGTAATGGTAGACTTTTGGGCTAGACAATAGGAAAAGGTCCACCCCAAAGTATACCCACTAATCAAATCTGATTGTTGAACTATTAAATTGAAAGAACCATTTTTTTCCCATTTTGTCTCTTTAGGTTGATTTTAAGACTAAAATCAAATTTAGTCTAGTACCACATTAGATAATAGATATGATGATATTTGTGAAGATAATGTTAAATTGAAAACTTGAGACCTATTCATGTATCTGAGGTTTTGATCCATAAACTGCACACAGTGCACACCTCTTTCGATGAGCATATTTGACAATTGAGTCCTCTTTTCGAACTTTTTTATTCATCAAATTCATTGCATAGTTTAAAAGTTCACTGATTACAATTTATACTTAAAATCTGATATTATTAGTAAACATTCCCTAGATAATAAAGTTTGCTCATTTTCCAAAATATGACTTTTGCACTTCTCACGGACTTCTTGGAACATTCAGCCTCTGTTAATATATATATATATATATATGCGTGCACATTAAGCTTCACATTAGCAACAATTACAACTTCACCAAACCCTGTCATATTCTAAATCAGAAATGTTTAAAACAACAATAGCTATAGACCAAAAACAAGTTGATGAATGCATACAAGCCCTGATGTCGAACTCCAAGAACCTTAAAAGGTTGATCGGTGTGGACACGTTATCATCTCGAACAGCACCAGGAATAACCTCAATCGCTGTCCTCCATCTCTGTGATGGAAACCAGAGCCTTATAGTCAGGCTTACTTCTTTCCATACAATACCAGAGTCTCTCTACAACTTCCTCAGCTTACCAGGTTTTACTTTTGTGGGTTTTGGAATAAATGATGCAATGTCTAGGCTCTGGAACGAGTACGGATTTGTGTGCAAGAACACCTTCGAGGCTCGCTCCTCCCTGTGGTGCAGTGATACGGATTCTTATGTGAATTTTGTGGTTAGGACTATGCATGTGCCACCAACTCAGTGTATCTCAGATATTTGGGATTGCAAAGGTAATCTCACGGAGGATTTAATCGACCTTACAGTCTCAAATGCCATAGCTGCTTTACGTATTGGAGACAAACTTCTTTATCCCATCGGTATTACTATGTGAGAAGCAGCGTAAAAGCTTCTTTTTACTTCTTTTCCTTTTCTCTGTTTTGGTGTTTTTCCTTGTTTCGAATTTCCTTTTCATCTAGGTGTTTTCCTTTAAACTTAGGGCTGCGGCTTTGCCCTCTCTTCTATTTAAGCTATGTACTTTGCTACTTTGAGAGGAGCTTTTGATTTATAATAAAAAACAGACGAATTCCTCAACTAAAGTCTCTGAATTCTCTCCCTTCTTCTTCTACAAGAAGGCTTGAATTCTTAGCAAACTAGTTTCGATTCGAGATCTTTGATACTCGAGTGCCTCTAGTTCTTATCCCCTACATTACTTGCGCTCTAGTATTCTTATTTCTTTCATCAAGATATCCAATTTATCCTCTTTTCTTTGTAATCTCGCCGCTTGGTTGATATGGTTAAGATCGTTACAAAAGATATAATTGTTACCAAAAAATGCGTTTTTGTTAGCCAAATTGGGGTATTGTAGATCAGGATGAACAGAAACCTGACATTTCTCAATAAGAAAAGCACTAAAATAATGTTTTCGTTTAAAATAAACACAATAATTAGTGGATATAAGAAGATAGCAAAAACACAATCAGACCTAGACGTTGAGCTAGTTACGCAAAATACAAATTCTTTTAAATAAGTCACTGTATCAGATTAAGTGAATATTTTTCATTACATCACGAATAGTTGTCAACTGCAGTTAAGGTATACTTTTATTGATCCACTATACAATGAAGGTATCCCACGTTAGTAGTCCACGAGTCGGAACGGACCTCGAAAGGCAAACTTTATTGATGGCAAATCCAAAAGTTTGAAAAGTGCTTTTGAAATTCGGTGTTGAGAAGAAGAAACAACAAATGTTTGCTTATAGAAAAAACAACAGATGCTTAGTTAATTCTGGAGTAGCGGAGTTTAAACTTTAGTTTGAAGAGAGCTGAGCAACGAGCTGCGTGAGATTATCTTCCTTCTTGATACTTTCCACCCAATTGGCGTTTATATGTACTCTTTCAATGCTCTGCTTCAAGGTTCTTGCCATCGAAGGCTTTGATCTTGTTGCAAAAAACTCCTCCACTTCTTTCGCTTTCTCAAACGACGCAAACTGAGACACAAAACATAAAGAGTCATCAATGGAGGCCAGCGAGAGGATCCATAGTTTTTTTTTTTTTTTTTATGTATATGTATAAAGGGGAGGAGGAACAAACCGGTGATACAACTGCACTTATGAAGCGCGTTATGAGAAATCCGGAGCCCCATGTGTTTCCTATATACTCCCACTTCTCTTGTAGCCATTTCCAAGCTACTTCACGTCCTTCCCAACTTACACCGGAAAGTCCATAAAGCGCATCTTGATTACGGACCTGGAAGAAAAAGAACCTCGCATCACATCAATTTTTTCAAGCGCAATGATATGATTATTTTACTAACTCTACAGAGTGGAATGGAAAGCAAAATCCATATAATATACCTCATCAGACAATACGAAGTTAAGAACATCTTGAACTATAGTGGGGTCTGGGCAAGATGCTAAAGAACCTGCAAAGTCACAAAGGAAACATTAGTACTTGAACCACAAATTTTTATTTATTTTATCCTCTGGTACGAGACCAAAGTTCGCAGTCAAGTTACCTAAGATTCGTGTTTTCTCTTGGCTCAGGTCAGTTTCCCTATAAACTCTCAGAAGAGACTCATAACCAGATTTGTCTGACTTGTTGGCTCTCTGCATTACAGCAACATAAGCAGCCTGCAAACACAAAACCCATACAGAAATTAATGTAAATGTTCACCATTTCAGTTTCAAAGCGTTATTCGGGTTATATGATAAGAAGCAAACCCTTCTAATGTCAGGAGGCAGAAGCGAAGTGTTCCTATCAGCCAAAAATGCATCAAATCTTCGAACTGCTTCCTTTAGTGTCTCATCATGCCCAAACACAGCAAGTGCAGTTAAGACTTCCCCTCTCAGCATAGCATCTAGATGGCTCTCGCCTTGTTTAGGGTCCCAACCAAGTTTCCTGTAAGAACAATCAACATTGTAATGACACTGGTTTATTTTTCGTTTGCCAAACAGAAAATAAAGTTATATACAATATTTTGATGTTGATAAGTCTAAATTCTGTAGATGGGTAAAACAGCTTACCCAGCAGCAAATTGGAAAACGCCAATGAAGAAATGTTTAATCCCAGACATCAGTGCTTGATCTGCATCTGCTCCAATCTTCACAACTTTGTAGCTTATCTGTATGGAAGAAGAGTAAGAGCCAGAAACAAAAGCATAATCATGGAACAGGGAAAATTAAAGACAGAAAGGGCAGACCCTTACAGCAATAAGATTTGACAGCACGGTATAGTCAAGTTCCTCCTTGTAAGCACTAATCAAAGTGAGCAAAGAGGCCAGAGATTGCTGACGCGCCATAGAAAGTGCAAAAGAATCATCCAAAATACCTGTGAAAGAAAAGTAGGACATTCATCTCCAAAGAAATTTAATTATGTCAGCCAGAAAACAAAATTATCCAAGGTTAAATTACCATATCTATCGATAGAAGTCAAGCTTTTACTCTCTGTTGCATTTCTGAGTCCAGCCGCAAGGCTGTCATCATATTTTACCCTATAGAATCCAGCCTGATCAACATTGATTTTTATCCAAGAACATGCCCCATTGTTTTTGTCGCTACCCTCGGCAATGGAGCAGCCCAATAATTCTTTTAAATCATACGCTCCAGATTTGGATTCCAACAAGAAGTTTTTGCGCTTTTCATATGAACCACAGCACAAAGTTACTGGCACAATCCACTGTCCTTCCCCAGGAGAACCACTTGACAGGAAACGAGACTGAAATTTTCAAATGGATTTCATTAGTCAATCATGCACAATATCATGATGAACCTCATTTAAAAGGGGTATAAAACTATAAATAGAACATCCAACAAGGGAAATAAGTCTAAGAACCTGCTCAAGTTCCAATTTTCCATCTTTTATTTTGGCTGAGACAACAGGATATCCTTTTTGCTTTGTCCAAGAACTCATAAGCTTGTTCACAGGTTCTCCGGATCCCGCTTCCAAAGCAGCCCATAAATCTTCTGTCTTCGCGTTTGAGTAAGCGTGATTTTTAATGTATGCAGCAAGAGACTTCTGCTCACCAAAAGCCATACAAGTAGGGTAAGAAGTTTTGGAGACATTAGAGAAACTGGAACTAAAAGCCAACATATTTACATGCATAATATAAAAGCTGCGATTCTTTTGTAACCGAAGAAATGGGCATGAGAGCGGAAACCTGAAAAACTTCAGCACCAAGATAGCTTTGTAGCATGCGGATGACAGATGCACCCTTTCTGTAGCTTATTGCATCAAATATTTCATCAATTTCAGCAGCATGATTAACCTCCACCTGAGGAAATTTTTGGACTTATGTCAAATAGGCAATAGGGTAACTCTGGGATTGATAGTGAAAATAAGGAAACTGACATTAAGCTGTCACGACACATATTGACAGCATTTTGGTTACCTCTATCGGGTGAGACTCCTCAAGCCCATCTAGCCTTAGACCCTCAGTAGATTCATCTAAAAACTGGGTCCAGATTTTCCATTCAGGGAACAAACTATCAGTGGCCAAGTAGCTGACCTGAAACAGATAAAGAGTAACAATATATTCACAACAAAACTCAAAATCATTGATAATACTAAGACCTAAGTTTGAAATGTACCCAAGTAGCAAAACCCTCATTCAGCCATAGATGAGTCCACCACTCCATCGTAACAAGATTGCCAAACCACTGGTGGGCCAGTTCATGAGCAACTACAGTGGCAACCTAGCAGCAGAAATTTAACTGCTTTAGATAATTGCACAAAAGAGCACAAGACAAAATCCTCTAGAGAATAAATGGACATGTTAACAGTACCCTCTGTTTGTTAGAAGCTGCTGAATGTTGCTCATCATAGAGAAGAGCTGTTTCACGGTATGTAACTAAACCATAATTCTCCATAGCTCCGGCAGCAAAATCTGGTATTGCAATCATATCCATTTTGGGAAGGGGATATGGCACAGCAAAGTACCTACATGAATGATTGGACTTATGCAATGAGATGATACAGACTATGATACAGCCAGTAAAGAAGCCCAGAAATATGCATGCACATAAAGTTTCAAATGTCAACGAAGGACCTACTCTTTGAACAGATCCAATGTCTTGGCACCAACATGCAATGCAAATTTCCCTTGGTCGGCTTTGCCCACTTGACAGTATACTCTGACTTTAATCCCTGAGCAAAAGAAGAAACTTGATTTAGAGCTTCTCGAATTGACTAGACGAGAGACAATAATGGATAAAATTAAGTTACCATCAGATGTATGATCTTCCACGTAGTCAAACAAACCAACAACAATTGCTACCAAATATGTAGACATAATTGGTGACTCTTGATAGGAGACAATCTTCAGATTCCCATTGACTTTCTCCTCCATGACTGGCATATTGGAGAGAGCCACCAAATCAGTTGGCACCTCTAATGTAATCTTGAAGGTAGCCTGTTGAACAATGTGTCAATATTGATAGATAAAGACGAAGAAAACAAAACGCCACTTTGATAATAAACTCATGCTGATTAAAAGAGGAGGGAAAGAGAAAGAACAAGTGGAAACCTTGCAAGCAGGTTCATCCCAGCATGGAAAGCATCTCCTTGCATCAGCTGGCTCAAACTGGGTAACTGCCATATTCTTCTTCTCACCGTTATGTTCATAGGTACTGCCACCAAGACAAATACAAGATCGTTCTAGAATTAATCTTGAGCTATGCAAATGTTCTAATTGTGAAAAAATAGAAACCTCAATGTTTCACCTTCTGTAGAATCCCTTCATTTTGTCATTTAGTACTCCATTGAACCCCAGTTCCAGAACTCCCACTCCATGGGGAAGAATCTCACCAAACTCAAGCACTAGAATCTCATCCTCCTCAAACAGGACAACTTTTGGAGGTGCAAGCGCCTGATTAACAAAAAGCAACAAAACATAAGAAGCAAAAACAAGCGAAATCGTTGCTGATTCCAGGTTTTGGATGGGTAAATGAAATTTAGTGCCATGAGAACTATTATGCTCAAATCTCCTATTTGTGAACATGTCATTCAATCCAATCCATGACAGTTTTCTAAAGTTGAGGATGTAATATTGTTTTTTCAGTCGAACAGAACAAATCTAGCTGAAACCTGATTTACCATTGGAATCAAAATAAAAAATCATAGATGATATCCAAATACTCAAATCATGAAAATAAATATGTCCAAGGCGCTAATTTGCTCAAAACCATACATCCAATCACATTACTAAAATCCGAAAACATATCAGCAGAAAGAAACGCGATAGAGACCTTAGAGGAGGAACGAGGAGTGAAGGAAACGGAGGCATCGTTGACGGAGAGATCAGCTGCGTTGAGAACGATGAAACGAGTATCGGCGACTATGTCAAGATCGATGGCTACAGTTCCGGCGAAGGTGCAGGCGATGAGATCGGGATTGAGGCGGAGATCGTAGCGCTTGGGAACAGCGAACTTGGGTAGACGAGGCTGACCTTTGAACTGATCCATTTTGTATAACTTGTTGATGAATTTTTGTTTCTTTCTCTTGGAGTCGGAGTCCTTTATATAAATTAAATTTGCAAGCAAGTGTTTTATGTTACGCCACGCGAGTGATTCGTTTGTAGGGGGACGCAACGTTAATAACATTTACAAAACAATTCAATTTCTAAATTTGATGTAAAGCTTATCTGAATAATATCACTATCAAATTCTGTGAGATTGGATTATCAATTAGAGCATCTCCAACGCCGAATATGACAAAATGGATTTTGACCTTGTAACATAAGGTCATAAACACTACTTGGTTTTGAAATTGGAAAGCGATCAAAGCAGAGGGGACACTAACTCACAGGGTCACCTTTATTTGGATATCAACATTCCAAGAGTCCGCCAACTTCACAATGAGCTTTGGTATCGACGGATCCATCCTCCTCTGACCAGCCTGTTGTAAGTTGTACAATATCTTTCTCTTCAGCTTCCTTGGATCTCCAAACCTCGCTATACCACTTCTTTCAAGCTGTTCCTGCAGCTGCAAATGTCGGAAAACAAAAAACCAGAGACAGATAAGAGTGTTAAGTCTGGATACAAACGAGAAAGATAATTTACCTCTCTAAATTATGTATAAATTATATACCTCTCTAATCCAATCTACACACATGTCGTAATAATTGTGATCCTCCAGAATCTGAGAGATGAATTTTATAATTTTGTGTGCAATCTTAATTGATAACAGACGGTCAAAAATGGGTCCCGTCTTCTTCATCAGCGAGATGATCAAGCTCTGGTCATTGGTGCCAAACACTTCTTCATAAGCAGATTCAATGTCACTAATACTCATCAACTCTATTTCCCGCCGATCTAGTTTATACCACACATATCTAACCGTTCCATATCCTCCATATCCTTCAGATTCCCCACATGTCCACCAATTTCCCATCTGCTCATTCTCATGTTGTTCTGATGACCTGGGTGATCTTCTTGGCTCGGCTTGTCCGTTTCTCCAAGCAGCACATACCACAGAGACAGAGAGAGAAAAAAAAAAAAAGCAATCGTCGAAAGTCATGTTCGCTACAAAAATAGTTCTCTTTATCGCCGTCGTGTCACTTCTCGGAACATTTTCATCTGCCGCCGTTGATACTTTCATCTACGGTGGTTGCTCACAAGCAAAGTACTTTCCGGGATCGCCTTACGAGTCAAACGTAAACTCGCTACTAACCTCATTCGTTAGCTCAGCTTCTCTCTACACATACAACAACTTCACCGTCAACGGAATCTCCGGCGACAGCTCCTCCGTCTACGGATTGTACCAGTGTCGCGGCGATCTCTCTTCCGGCTCAGGCGATTGCGCAAGATGCGTCGCGAGAGCCGTTAGCAGACTCGGGAGTCTCTGCGCCATGGCGTGCGGTGGCGCGTTGCAACTCGAAGGCTGTTTCGTTAAATATGACAACACGACGTTCCTCGGCGTGGAAGATAAGACGGTGGTGGTTCGACGGTGTGGACCACCGGTTGGTTATAACTCGGATGAGTTGAATCGTATAGACTCGGTGGTTGGTTATTTAGCGGCGAGTAGCGGTGGTTCATACAGAGTAGGAGTGTCAGGGAATTTACAAGGTGTGGCGCAGTGCACCGGAGATCTCAGTGCGACCGAGTGTCAAGACTGTTTGATGGAAGCGATCGGACGGCTGAGATCGGATTGCGGAGGAGCCGCATGGGGTGACGTGTACTTAGCTAAATGCTACGCGCGTTACTCTGCGCGTGGAGGACACTCTAGAGCCAACGGCTACGGTAATGTCTTCTTTGCTCCGTTGCTTTTGTTTCTCTTAAGGTTTTTTATTTGATTTTATAGTACTAGATTTTGTATCCGCGCGTTGCGCGGGGTTTTAATTTAATTTCTCTTCTATTAATATAAATTTTTGAGTATATCAGTATAATTTAAAAGATAAATATTTGAGTATAAATATAATAATTCAAATTTTAAAAGATAAATCTATATAAACATTAAACTTATTTTACGAAGCGATATACAACATATATATTGTCGACGAAAATGTTTCCTTGACAAATAAATAGTTTGGTATATATCACGTGCTAACAAATATCACTTAAGAAATTTGCGGGAAGAATAAATGGTATCGACGACCATCTCATGATTCTTTATCTCTAAAAGAGTTTCTTTCTTATTCTTTTTTTTTTTTTTGAATTGAAGTTTTATCTTATTCATATTCTATGAAAACATTTCTTTAAAAGTTTCGATGTTAATTATCGATTGTTGACCTAATTGTATATATTATTTATGATTAAATGTTGATACTAACATAAGGTTCATTCCATATAAAATGTGAATATACTGAGTTTCATGAACATTATTTAGTGGAAAAGTAAATCTATAATACCATGTTGCTAGAACAACTTTAGCGAGCTTGTTTTACCTATAGAAGAAAGTGCATCGTGCCATAATAGAATTCTCGACTAAGTCATCAATGTACCTATCTTATCTCACTTTCGATTATTACATGGCCAAACGGTTAAGCCTAACTTTGAATCTAATAATCTGTTTAATATGTATGTCTTGTATTTTTCAAAGAACTCATTCGTTTCATACAATGAATGAGATCTCAAATATTTTACCTTAGTCATTGCATTATCTTTATAAGTTTTATAAAATTATTTTCACACTTTAACTACCAATTCTTTTGTCATATTCTATGACGCACTCGTTGCCTCTCGACACCTACTTTCTTTTCACCTTCTATTGACTCACATATAATATATATTGGACTTTGAATTGATTCTCAAGACATGTCATAATTATTTTCTCCTTAATTACTATCTTTCAATACTCAATTTTTTGGGTTAAACGCATTTGATTCCGTTGATGAAATATCAAACTTGTTTTTCTTTTTGATCATGTTATAAAGTTGTAGTTCCACTTGAGAATATTCTACACAAATTACATATCACTTTTTTAACGGCTTACATATCATTTTTGTATATTTTGTAAAACTCATGAATAATGTGATCATTGATTATTTTTCTTAAAAGATAGATGATAATATTTTGTTTTAATGTGTTAATGAGTTTTATAATGGAACTAAAATTTTAAATGCATGGTGGAATAAAACTAAATTAATGGAATTCTATATGTAAAACTTAACAAGAAAATAAAATTTAAAGTGAATCATTAGTTTCTAAGAACAATATATTACATATTTTTATTTATTATTAGATTTTTACTTAAAGAAAAATAAAACATTACTAAACTCAACTTAAATTTATAATTTAAGATAATGATATTGTAAGAGTCACACTTTATCTTGTAAAATTATAAAAAAAATTTGGAAATTTTAAAACCTTATGTGATCCATCTTTAGAAAAATAAATAATCAATGATCACATTATTCATGAGTTCTACCACAAAATATATATAAAAAATGATATGTAAGCCGTTAGAAAAAAAGAGATATGTAATTTGCATAGCATATTCTTAAGTGGAACTACAACTTTATAACATGATTAAAAAGAAAAAGAAGTTTGTATTTCATCAATGGAATCAAATGCTTTTAATCCAAAAAATTTGAGTATTGAAAGATAGTATTTAAGGAGAAAATAGTTATAATATGTCTTGAAAATCAATTCACAGTCCAATATATATTATATGTGAGTCAATCGAAAGTGAAAAGAAAGTAGATGTGGAGAGGCAACGAGTGCATCATAGAAGATGACGAAAGATTTGGTTGTTAAAAGTGTTTGAAAATAAATATCTAGAACATAGAAAGATGCACATGACTAAGGTAAAATCTTTGAGATCTCATCCATTGTGTGAAACGAATGGGTTCTTAGAAAATACATGACATACATTATTAAACAAATTATTAGATTCAAAGTTGGGCTTAACCGTTTGGCCAAGTAATCATGGAAAGTAAGATAAGATAGGCACATTGATGACTTAGTCGAGAATTTTCTTATGGTACGCTGCATTAGCTTTGATGGGTAAAACAAGCTCGCTAAACCTGATCTAACAGCATAGTATTATAGATGTACCATTACACTGAATAATGTTCATGAAACTCAGTATATTCGCATTTTATATGGAATGATATTATGTTCATATCAACATTTAATCATAAATAAAATCTACAATTAGGTTAACAATCGATAATTAATGTCAAAACTTTTAAAAAAATGTCTTTAGGGAATATGAATAAGAAATAAACTCTTTTAGAGATAAAGGATCATTAGATGGTCGTCGATACGGTTTATTCTTCCCGTGAATTTTTTAATTGATCTTTGTAACCACGTGATATATATCAAACTATTTATTTGTCAAAGAAACATTATCGTCGACAATATATATATATATATATACATATGTTGTATATCACTTCGTAAAATACGTTTAGTATTTATATAGATTTATCTTTTAAATTTTGAATTATTATATTTATGCTCAAATATTATATTTTAAATTTTAATGGTTATATTTTATGCTCAAAAATTTATATTAAAAGAATAGATTTTAAATTAAAATCTCGCGCAACGCGCAGGCACAAATCTTGTACAAATCTTGTAAAAATAATCACTTAAGCAACATGGCTTGTCTCTCGTGTAGCTCCATCAGGTTGTGAGCCTCTGTCTCCTGGAGCTCGGCCATTATACTTACCAGTAGGATAGTTAGCAACATTATTATCATTTTTGCCAGATCCAGCTGTGAGATTACCCTTTCGACCTGATGATATCGAAAGATCTGTTGCCTTGCCCTCTACAGCCACCGTACTATCATGTGAGACACCAACAAACTCTTGGAGCAGGTACATAAAATAATTCTGTTTTCTCTCTAGCTCCAACAGCTGCTTCTGGACGGCTAGCCAGTGTCCTCTATTACTAGAGGAGGAGCCTTCAGATACAGAATGGCTTTTTACTAGTCTTTGGAAATATGCTGTGTTACTTGAGGCAGGTGCTTTGTTCTTCAATATTACTACTGCTTCTGTATCAGCAAGGCCTCCTTTTTCTTTAGTAGGAGAGTCTGGTGAGAGTGTGGAACCATCGGATGACTCCTTTTTCATTAGATGAGCAAGATCAGACCTTTGTTTCCCATTCTTCTCTGATCCAAGAAGATCACCAGATGCAATCTTTGAATCATCTGAGGCACCATCAACACATTTTCCGGAAATGTTTTTCCATAACTGCAGCGCCTCAGTCACACTTTCCCTAACAGCTTTTATCTGTCCAAGAAAAAGAAAAAAGAAAAAAAAAAAGAGTTGATCATTAAGCTGTCGTGAGAAGATCACTACATCTATCTAACTGATACCCTTCTTATAGTTCATATGGGCCATGTCACAGAACAACATAAAACAACGCTCACTAGAGGAAGAAAAGTGGTAGATGACTGAAAAATCATACAGATATGCAAATGATATTATGATGTTTCAAGTTTACTTAACAACAGGGCCACTTGAGAGATTAAACAGAAAAAAGAAACACTAGTAAAAAATGATATGTATTCAAACTGTACAGGGTGATAGTGAAAATGGCTTATGTTAGCTAGTTAAACCTAAGATTACTAAAGAGAAAGAGGGTGTTATAGCTACCTTTTCATAGACACGGTTCTCAAGCACGGCAAGGGTGAAATCTGTTTTGTCGTAAATCAAAGAGCTGGAATGTGATGCCAATGCAGTCAACGTATCAGCCGCAGCCTTTCGTGTTTCCCAACATGTACTTGCAAGACAAGCATGGATGCGTTCTAGCAGAGAATCCAAGCTCTGAGGCGCAATGGCTCCCACCTGAACAAGATTGTTTGCTCTTTACTTGTCTTTTTCAAAGAGAAGTTTAACCAATGAAACTACTAGCAATGTCACTAGAACTTGTAAGGCCAAATCAAAACAGTGATAAACTTGTGCAAGCAACACAACCACGTACAAGAAAACATATTCTTCCTATTGACCACAATAACAAGATATTACATCGATTAAAGCTTCCAATAATTTTTCCAAACCAATTGACGACACAAGCACAAGAAAAACGTGACCAAGGAGATCGAAAAGGGCGCAAACCTGAGACAGGCTTGAAACAACAAGCAAAAGGGAAGCCTCAGCCAAGAAACAAGGATTGCTCAGAAGCTCGCAGATTCTAGGGCAAAGCTTTTGGAAAGAAGAAATTGGAGGAGTGGCCGCTGATTGCACCATCTTAGCCATACACATTGCAGCTCCAGATTGTACCCATTTTCTCCTCTCTCTCATTGCCTCGAACAATGGCTCAACAAACAGTGCCACCACAGCATCATCACTATTGAGATAAATCCTTGACAAGGCGCCAATCGTATCCACACAAGCATCCCTAACTCCGGTATCGGTGGAGGAGTCCTTCAATCGTTTTACTATATCAGCGATGGTTCTAGTGAGGAGGAGGTGGTGGCACTCCTTCTTCACGGAACACAAATCGTAGAGACAATTGAGAAACATTGAAGAAATCGCTAAGGTTTTTCGAGAGAGTCTGATAGTCTTCTCGAGATGAAGATGATTTACAAATTTGAATTGTATAGTTTCCTTTTTTTTTCGTTTTTTTTAATGTTCAGAAAATACTAATTTCCTTTTTCTTTTCTTTGGTCAACGAGATTAATTTCTTTTAACTTTTCTTTCTTGCCTAGGGTTTTCGTCTTGTGAAAACGACGTCATTTGGATCTTCCCACTCTCCTCTGTTTGGTTGGTGGGTTAATCGACCGACTTCTTCCGAAGCTTCGTCGGAGTGCTCACAATCTCGGGGAATCTGAGGTTTTACGGGATATATAATAATTCCAACATCTTTTTTTTTTCCCCGTTATAATCAATCGAATTTGGTCTCTACCCGTTGCGATCAAATCAGGGTAAATTTCAATTCTGTTTTCTTCTGAGATCTGAAATTCTGTTATCCTTGAAACTTGTTGAATCTTTGCATTGTCTGAGTTTCATTTTTGATTCATCTCTCTATTTGATCCTTTCTGCAACTTTGGTTATGTTCATTTCTATCTTAGAGGATCAAAAATGAATCTTTTAGTTGTCTTTTGGTTATGTTCGATTAGATTTCTCTGTTTGTGATGAATTCTGCTGAAGCTTGTTGTGTTAGATACTTATTGTCACTGTTTACATTTTTATCCTTTTCTCAAGAGTGATATAGTTTTTTTTTTCTTTCTGAATTATAGATAGATGGATTTTCAGAGTTGCTAAGCTGAGAGAGAGTATTAGTGATTGCGAAGATGGGCTTATTGAAGAAAAAAGATTCAACTTCAGCTCGCTCCTCTACTTCTCCCTGCGCCGATTTGCGAAACGCTTACCACAATTGCTTCAACAAGTGAGTTTCGTTTCTCCTTTGAGCTAGTGTTTCTTCATTGCTGGGTTTAAGGGTTTAGCTTTGGTGGTCTTTTGATCTATTAAGGTTTGGAGCATTTGGTATTCGACTTAGAATTTGATGGCATTGTTGTATTTCTTTTTCCTTGAAAATTCTTCCCTTTGTATGAAAAACATTTGGTTGGTGTATTTATCTATCTGTCCAAAACGCTAAGATTTGCATCCTCTTTCTTGATTTCTGTCTGCAGATGGTACTCGGAGAAGTTTGTTAAAGGGCAATGGCATAAAGAAGAGTGTGTTGCCGAGTGGAAAAAGTACAGAGACTGTCTCTCGGTAATTCACTCTGCTTCTCTTCTTCAGTTCTATTCATGTTTCCTGTGATCTTAATCAAATAATAAGCTTCTCATTCTGTGTTTAATTTTCGACTTTCATTTATTTGAACAGGAGAATTTAGATGGTAAGCTTCTCACTCGCATTTTGGAAGTAGATGGTGAGCTGAATCCAACAAAGCAAGCTGCTGATTCAAAAGAATCTAGTTCATGATACTTGATTCCCATGTTTTTTTGTCGATAACATTGTCACTTTAAAGAAGATTGAACAACTCTTTTAGCAGGAAACCATAAAATCATAGAATACAAAGTAGAATGAGATTGTTGTATTCTTTATTCAAAACTGGAAGAAAATAAAGAAATCATCATTTCTTCTTGAAGAGGAAGTGTGCAACCATCCACTCTTCTCCATTGTTGTACCCGAAAAGCTCAGCAACCGCGATGAAGAAGGTTCTCCAGTAAACCATCCACTTCACTGCTTCTTCTTTCCCATAAGTCATTTCCATTATCCTTTTTATTGCAACTATCTCCTTATCCATTCTTTTGAGCCACTCTTCACTGCAAAAAGTTGTATAATTATAAAGTAACAAACATTACAAGATTATTATCATCTTCTCTCGCTTTTTACAACAAATCTTCCGATTTTTTACCTTGTCTTTGCATAATGCGTCCCGTTTACAAGCCAATGATCCACAATCGAGACATTTTCCTGAACAAACAACATATTGATATATTTGGATTGATGAAAATCTACTGAATCATTCACAAGTTATAATATGTATATTACTTGGAAATATAGGAGAAGATCTGCTGATGGCATTGTTCCTCCGCTGAAGAAGTGTCTTGTGATCCAGTCATCGTCATTCACATCCTATAGTTAATCAACACAATCCCAAGATTTCATTATTGCCAAGAAAACATGGTGAAGAAACTAATTAAACAAGAAAGCTATCTCCATACCTCAAAGTGGTAAGCAAATGTCTTATGGCAGAAATAGTGAACAAACAGAAGACTATCTTCCTTCATCCAGTTACCTATCTTCTTCAGTAGCTCTCCATAGTTTTTCATGTGCTAATCACAATCCCAAATAGAAAAGTCAAAGCTAAGAAATAACCTCTGATCTTTGACAGGCAAAAATATAATGAAATAGAGTAATTCAAAAAACCAATCCAAACCTCGAACATTTCGATGGAGAATACTCGATCATATGTCCCTTCATGCTCAAAAGTGCTAATATCCGCAACAATAATTTCGACATTCTCAAGCCCGAGTTTCCTACAAATATGACATGTAAAAGAAACCATTTTAGATTATTAAGTTCCACTTAAACTAGCTAGAACTTGATGAAGCTTAAGATGTAATTATGAGAAACTTAATTACCGGCATTTCTCATCGATAAATGCTTTCTGTGTTTTGGAGTTGCAGATACCGGTTAACTTGCATTTGCCATACTTGCGGGCAATGTACAAAGACAAAGATCCCCAGCCACATCCGACATCAAGAACACTTTGTCCATCTTCCACTTTAGCTCTTTCACAATAAAGAGCCAAAATTGCTTCCTCTGCATCTTCTAAGCTACTTGAATCGTTTGAGAAGTAACAAGAGCTGTATTTCATATTTCTTCCAAGAACAAGTTCGAAGAAAGCTGTTGGTAATTCATAGTGTTGAGTCTTTGGCTTCTCGGTATTGATAGCTATAGGCATCTTCTTTATAGCTGAAGTATACATCATTCACAGGAAACTTTTTAACATTTTGCAAATATCTATTATGTGACAAACTGAAATGTTCTATTTTCCCAAATGCATATGTTTTTTTCTTTTTTCTTTTTCTAAGTACATGTAAGTAAACGCAAACACAAAAATTGAGTTTGAAACAATGTATGCCCATATTTGATTGGAGAAGAAATTTGCTCTTCTTCTGTGGACAATTCATAAGTCAGGAAGCAAAATCTATCATGAACAAAACAGTCATATAATAAAAGACCTTGAATTAGTCTTATAAGCTTATATTCCGGAGATCCAATTAACAAAAATAAAACTGACATGTAAATTTATTTATTATTATACAAATAAAAAAAGTAAAAGAAATTTTGTGTTCGCGGATCTCTCAACAACAATATCTAAACTAAAAACTAAAAAGATAAACCTTTTTGTTTGACATTTCTTTTTTACTCAAGAAAATTAATTATTGTGAGGCGCTAAAGCCGTCATGTTAGTTGTTTACAGACGAAAACCCCACAAGCTAAAGGACGTGTTACAACTTGCAACACACACCAGATTGTTTAAAATTCGTCATAATAGTCACTCAATAACACCAAATCAAAATTAACAATCACTCAATAACATCAAAGCACAACACTAGTTCTGTATAATAGCTTTTGTAAACTCTAGTCTAGAATAAAATAAATCAAATCTAAATGCTGAAAAGAAAAAGAAGGAGAAAATGAACAAAAAAGAGCAATTATATATGTCACTTACAGTCAACAAAACGGAGGAGATCGGAGAGTTGCATCTCCGCCGTGGGTTTGTAACCGGAACGGAGACGACCGGCCAGAAGCAGACGTGTGAGCCGCCTAATGACGAGATCTGGCAACAGATTCTTCTCCAACAACGTCAAACCCGCCTTCACTGATGCGCCATAAGCTACATCAATAATCTTCTCCATCTCTCTCTCTCTCTCTCAAGCCTTCCTTTTTTCTGTCTCTTGAGTTTTTTTTTTTTTTTCCTAACAGGTACGATCTTAATAAGTGTAACGTTAAGCATATAAATAGACACGGACGTAAATTTAATAGAAAAAAATCATACTCATGGTTTTATTTCTTAATTCAACCCATTACGGATCGTTAGTTACGTGTATTACCTTATTCTTTATTTGACTTCCATGTGAACTAATTTTAAACAATTTAAGATTCCAAAAAACATATATCGCTGTTAATTATTAAAAAAAAGCGTACATTTACTTATTCTATCTTTATATTTTATACCATATAATTTTAACAATAAAACTTTTAACAAAACCTTATCTTATCTTATCTTTTTGCAGTGTCCGTGCTTAAAATCAGATATCACCATTTTGCTAAGCCAAAAAAAGTTGGATCAAGGCCGGTTTACGACTTTGATGGGCCTTCAAGAATTTTTGTTTTTGGTTTTTGGGGCCTTATAATGTTTTTTAGTGAATAAGCAAACTCGTTATCGTTTATTCACAATCTATATCATTTTTGTACAACTTTTAGTATTTGATAATTTGATATAAAGTTATAAACTCAAGGCCTTGCATTATTATTCTACTAAATCGGTAGTATACCGACCAGAATATAGATTAATTACTTTTATATCTTTGTTGGTCCAATTGTAATTAATTAAAACCAACTCTTAAGTTTTCTAAAATTTAATTCCGGATGGCAACTACTGTACACAGTACTAGTTCTTATTCTAATCAACAATCATTAGTCAATTACCAAAACTTTCTTTGTTAATACTTTCCATGCAGCAATCACATTATTCAGGTGTAATTTTATATTTTGGACAGGCCTAGTGTTTATCTATTAAGGCTCAAATTTGGTACCAAGTCAATTTTTATTTCTATTCTACTTAAATTTCGTTGTACAATCCCATCATCAATTTTTGTTATTTTATTATCCAAATATAGAAAATACATTATTCCATTAAAAAGTTCAATTTAGGTTGTTACAACTTTAATAAGGTTATGATAAACTCATATGTCTTGCACTGTAAAATGAATACTGGATTACTATAAAGGAACCAAGAATTTAAAAATCTTACCTACTTTAAATTAAATCCAAGGGAGATGACTTAAACTTATACAACCAATAATCCCCTTAGTGATTATAAGCCTACCACAATGCTTTCTATGTTTAAATGCAGAATACAAGCTCCTCACTGCTGCTCCTGCAGGGCATAAACCGTCCTATCAACCTCACCCCTTAGTGTATCTTTCTATGATCTCAGAGTTCTTAATGAAGAGATGCTCAGGGACCAGCTTGGTGAGTTTGAAAGGCGATTCTAGCACCAAAGGGATGAGGAAACTTACAAAACTCTTTGCGTCAAGAGGAGAAAGAGTTTGCTCATAGAGTTGATCAGCCAATATGGCTATGCCTAAGATCATATAATCACCCTTTGCTTCTTCATTCTACTTGTGAAGCTTCACTATCCAAAGAATCCACTTGTTTACTCTCTCTTTTCCTTGTCACCTGTCAAATCAGAAGGAATAATCTGTTTAGAAACTAGAACCTAAGAATGCAGAAAACTTTGTATAGAGTCATACCAACTTGTTAGGGAAATTTTGAGCATTAGTGAACTTTGAGGGAGCAGAATAATGAGCCTTCTTTTGTAGAATCTCAGAGAGGCGCCGCTCGTTTTTCTCTTGCCTAAGTAGATACCTCAAGGAAACTGATTCTTGCTCAAGCTTTGACACCGTGATTTCCAGTATCGCTAAGCTATCCAAAAGCTCTTGTGCCTGTAAATTTCTATAATGTTTTAGAAGGAACTCAATAACTAAAACAACAAAGAAGATATATGTCGGAGAAAGGATTGAGTACCTTATCAGGAAGTTCACAAGGCGAATCCATAAATGGCGAACTAGAATGCTCAACTGCGCTAGTTAGAGCTAACCGTAAGTTAATCTCCTCTTGTAATTGCTGCTGCAATCTCTTAATCTGTATCACCCAAAATATCATTAACCATTATTACCATTAGCAGCAGTAGTACATGAAGAGAATTAAGAATGAAACACAAGAATATCAAACTTGTAAATGTGACTTAGTTGTATAAGAAAGACTTGTAAAATGTGATAAACAAAGAGCAGAAAATGAATATGGTAATATGGGATCTGACAGAGTGACTTACATCTTGTTCAAGCTCACATTTGTACCATAGTTTGGTCTTTCCATCAAATCTACTACTAGTTTGATCAAGCATCTTGCTTTCCTGCTTCCAAAACAAAAATCCAATTTCAAAACCTTTGGTGTGACCCTAAACCCCTAAAAACCCTAGATTTACTAAGTAGATTCCAAGAAATCAGATAATAACGAAAGGCATCAGATATAGAGAGAGGGAGAAAGAGGTACATTACATCAAGATCAGGAAAAAACAAAGAGCCATCACCAGAAGAGTAAGATCTTCTCGAGAATGTACCAGTCTTCTTCAAATACCTCCGGATCGAGCTTCCCCTGCAACAGACAACATCAGCAAACCAAAAAAAAAAAAAAAAAAACAAATCGGGAGCAATGAGTAAGATTTAGGGAGAGAGAGTACCAATTGATGGGAAGACGAAAAGTGGTATTTCCGAAGCTGCGATCGGTGCTGGGAGAAGAAGAAGAGGAAGCTAAGTTTTGATCTTCATGAAGAGCTTCGGCTTTGATACAGAGCATTGTTCTTCACGGAGAGGAGAAGACTCTGTGAAGAAAGGTTCCAACTTTGAGGTTTTCGTTTTTTAATGAAGACAGATGAGTTTGGTTGGGTTCTCACTGCTCACACTTCACTCCCCTTTCCTTTTTTTGGTCTCTCGCTTTTATGATTTTGTAACAAAACAAAATTAATTTATATATAGGAAAAAGCTGAAAAGGGAAACCAAAGAATTTATTCGTGTCTCACACAATTTGACTCGCCTACTCAGTTTCATAATTTCATTTTTTTCTCTTTTTTTTCATAATTTTATTTACATTTTACACACTCTCTCTCTCTCTCTCTCTTTTTTTGGTCAAAAGTTTTTCTCTTTGGCTAATAATTTTACGTTTCCATAAAAAAATTCGGACCCTCTAAATCAATGTTTCATGGGTTTTGGAGAAGTCAATGTTTCATGTGTACGGTACACATGTATAAAAATGATGACGCAGATAAACACACACAGTGGAATATCTAACTTTAACTTCTTTTGAATCGGATTCAAAAGAAAGAGACCTGATTGCAACATTTGAGTCACACTCACATCACATAGATAAAAAGATTCCAATTAAAAAAAAGAACCAATGGTACACATCAAAGAGCGAACCATATATGGTTTAGTAAATTTGATAAAACCGGATCAACCAATCGAACCAGCTTCAAGAGAATTTGGGACCGACTTAAAGATTGTCGCCGTTCAATTGGTAGAGGCCACGGCGTAATCGTAGGGGGACGACGACGAAGACGAACATATTCTTCTTTACTGTGTCTAATTAAAATTTAAAACAAGTCCCCACCAATGACCAAAGTGTTCCAATGCATGATTATTACGTTGGAGCCTCTTCCTCTTTAGATTTTGCTTTCTCAATTTATTATTTTTCGTTTTAGGGTTTGATGATTTTGTAATGTGAGAAAAGGTTTCGTTATGTTAAAGAGGCACTCTAACGCCATTCTTCTCTTCAGAATCGCAAGCTTCGATTCACATAATAAAACCCTTATGTCTTCCTTTACCGATCCCCTTTTTCTCCGATCGCTTCACACTCCTCGATCCATCGCCAACACATTTCATGGAGATTTCGTTCATAGACTCAATCCCATTCAAATTTACCACAACAACAGCAACAAGTGTCGCTTTAATGGTTTGTTCAAGGTTAAAGGTGGAAAGGGAAAGCCCAATGGATTCACCTTGACAAGTTGTTTTGATTCTCACAAGAAACCTGATCAAAAGGCTCGAGCTTTAACTCAACATCGCCGCCTTCTCCATGATCTCGGATCTGGGCCTAGTGCCGGAACCACCGACCTTGCCGATGGCCGTGGTGCATATCTGCCTACGAGGTTTCAAGGAAATGATAAGATTGTTGTGGCTGTTGACATAGATGAGGGTATGTTCCCATTTGTTCTTATAGTGTGATGTTTACATGTTTGAAATGTCTTTGGGAGATATCGTTTTATATGTTATGTTGACTTATTAAAACTGCTTAATGGGTTCTAGAAAAGCTTTGAGTCAAAGAGTAATATAAATCATTAGCTGACAAGTAGTTAAATGTTCTGGATGGTATGTAGAGCTTATGCAACTCGGAAGATCCCTGATTCACTATTTTTGGTTAGAGTTAAAAATGTGTGCTGATTCGAATCTGCCTAACCATTCAATTGGACTGCCAATTTCACCCCAGGAACTATGTTGAACTGTGTCTTAAAATGATTTCTGTGAATCTTTTCATGTGATGTGTTTTGAATTTTGTTTCCAACTCTAATCTAAGTATTGTCTTGGTTAGATGGCTGACGCAAATGTTTAACATTTTTTTTTTTTTGCCAATACCTCTATTCTTTTGCTTTCTTTGATTGAGATCATATTTTCTTTTGCTCTTTTTGTTTACGCAGTTCTTGGAAACTTTGTCTCGGCCCTTAACAGATTCATTGCAGACCGCTATTTGTCGAACCATTCAGTCTCAGAATACCATGTCTATGAGTTCTTCAAGGTATGAATTCAAAGCTTCTTCTTCAACATACATGAGAAACAAATTGTGCCTCTTCTTGCTCAACATGGAGGAATCCCCTTTTTCTTTTAGCTGCTGGATTGTTTTATTTTCTACTTTTGGACCTCACTTGCTAGGTTGAATGATTGAAATATTGAGTTAGCTTGGAATAACCCCTCTAGAGATAAGTTTGTATGCTAGGTTGACAATATTTAGTTGCTATCTTTCGCTTATGATAAGGAATGTTGTTCTCTGCCTCACTTATATAGCGCATTACACTGCCTGACACGTGTCTGTTTACCTTCTATGTAAAAGTATTTGAAACCCCATTGCTTTCAGAAATTTGAGTTGGTGAGGAAGTTTTTGTAAAGGTCCGCTACAATTTTTCTGTTACACTGATGTTTTCAAGCTATCACCAAAACATAGTAAACTCAGGAGCTCCTCTTAATATCAGAGTTTTGCGTTGCCTGTTACAGTACAGATCTAACTTTGCTGGCTTCCCATCACAGATTTCTTGTTTATGATTTGCCCTCAAACTTGTGTCTTTTTTTTTCTGTGGCAGATATGGAACTGCTCTCGCAACGAAGGTATTTTCCCTGGCTTACTCGCAGCTATGCATTAATTTAGGGACCAGCTGCTCTAAAGAATTTTGTGTGTTGGCAATTTTTGGTGGATAAAATGAGACCTAGTGTGCTATGTTTAAACTTTCTTGTTGTGCAGCCGACTTACGTGTTCATGAATTCTTTAAGACATCATATTTCAAGAAAGGGATCCATCCTCTTCCAGGTGCCCATAAGACTCTTCACAAGCTATCAAAATATTGTGACATGTCAGTTGTGACGTAAGTGGCATGTTGTGTGATCTTCTCTTTGGTGAACGTTTCAAATTTCCAGTTAGTCCTAAAAATCAGTATCTGAGTGGTTTTGATATCATTAAATAGGTCCCGGCAGAATGCGATAAAGGAGCACACACTTGAGTGGATCGAGATACATTTCCCAGGACTATTCAAACAAATTCATTTTGGAAACCATTTTGCTCTTCATGGAGAGTCTAGACCAAAGTCTGAAATCTGCAGGTGCATACAAAATCAACTGATGAATCTGGACACATTGGCAATCTTTCTACTTGAAAACTAACAAAACACCATTTTCATTTGATTTGATGGGCTAATCCAAGAATTGTAACTGCAGATCATTTGGAGCAGAGATATTGATTGACGATAACCCGAGATATGCCGAGGAATGTGCTAACATCGGAATGAAGGTTCTCCTCTTTGACTATGAAAATTCATACCCTTGGTCTAAGACAGAGTCTGTGGATAGGCATCCTTTGGTGACTAGAGTTCATAACTGGGAAGAGGTGGAGCAGCAGATTCTCTCATTGGCAGTGTCAAAATGTTGAAATAGATTCTGCAACAACAACTGTTATTTTGCCAGTGCAGAATTATAGTATTAATGTTTGAAATGATACTGTGAAAACTTGATGGGGAAATAAGTAGCAAACAGAGATGGAATTAGCTTTAATTGTCTCTTCTTAGCATCATTTTTTTTTTTTGTTAATTTAGTTTGGTTTCAATATTTCAGATACATTTGATCTGATGTAAATAAATTAAATAAAAGTATAATTTTAAATCTTTCATTTTGGATTTTGGTGTTCGAATCAGTTATTTTCATAGGGAAGAATAATTAGTTACTTTCATATTTTGTTGGTTTAATTTGGATCGATTAGTTACTAAGATTTCTAATTTGATATAATCTGTAGAAATTTTTTAATTTACAGATGTTAAATTTAAGTCGTATAGATACTAGATTACCAGGAAAGTGACCAAGAGAGATTAGTGTTTGCATAATACCATACTCAAGTAACTCAACGCATGTAAAAGTCAAAAAGAAGCAAATAAAAGCAGAAGATAAATCATAAAAAAGAGATAAATCTCGTTTATTTAAAGATAATGATTGTTCATAGGAGCATAAACAAACAAGTGTTTATGTTTTTAAGTAGTAATTAAAACAATTTTTTCACTTATTTGCCTTGTCTTTGGCATGGAGATTGTCAAAGTAAGCCTTAGTGTTGGCCTCAAAAGCATCTCTAGGGATATTAGCAGAACCACCAGAACCGGGAGCAACCATATTCCCAGGACCAGAAGCAGTGCCACTGCTTGAAGTACTGCTGCTCTGAGCCATCGAACTAGGTTTTGCGCTAACATCTTTCTTGTCCATTTTCACGTTTCAACTCTTGACAATGTGAGCTTGTTTGGTAAGGGTTTAAGACGAGATTTTTTTTGTTTGGTAGTGAGAATGAATGCGGTGGAGAGGTGGGAGAATTTATAGATGGAATTGTTCAAATTAGTCAAATTAACACTTCCCAAGATTATCACCATTTTTTACTAAATTATATCGTGGAAAGCAATTGTAGTTAATTGCAAGGGAAATTTTTAATTGGAAAAGGGCAAGTGACTGTCTTGGAAAGCTACTTGGAATAATTCTTGTAAATTGAATTTAACGTATTTCATTACCGAGAATGCTCTAGTACCACATGAAAAGAAAAAACAAGATAAATTTCTCATTTATTCAAATTATGATCTTTATAGGAGAAACATTACATAGTATTATAGTAGCATGCATAAACAAAGAAAATGCTTAAGATTCTAAACTCGAAAGTATTACACTTTTCACTTATTTGTCTTGTCCTTGGCGTGAAAGTTGTCAAAATAAGCCTTGGAGTCCACTTAGAGATACCTACAAAATGATTGTCTCAATTAAAACCATTTACAAGAAGCTTAGACAAATCTCAAAAACGTATCAATCCTTGGTCAGGAAACTCGATGGAGATGGGATCCATATTATCTTAATTCCTAATAGCTTAAGTCATATGATTTGAAATAGTTATATATACTTTCTTGTACTATTAGAGCTTGTCCTTAAATAACTCGTCGTAGAAGACCCTCTGTTTAATTACGTATTAAAAATACTATGTAAGTATTAAAAATATCTCTAATTTATTTATTTTCTCTTGTTTTCTAATCTCACTGACCTTAACTTCATCAAAAGCCACCAATATGTTGTATATTCTCTGGTTGGAAACCCCGTTGGTGATATTAGTTTGTTCGTCTCTGCAGTTAAAGATGAAAACATAGTTTAGAGAAGAAGAGACTTAATCATTTCATGTAACGTGCATGAAATAACGGTAGAAGCAGAACATACTCTGGATATGAATTCCTCATACGTGGAATATATATACTCATACAAAGATGTCAACTCTCCCCTATAGCTTATGCAAGCCCTCTTTAGATGTGCTGGTAGATCTGAAACTTCAGTCATTGAAGCCCAACTTCCGACAAATTCTGAAAGAATATCTCCAAAATGCTGGGATGCCTTCTCCATGACACAAGAACTCTAAATCAGTACTTAAGGCTTTTAACTGTAGAATCAGTCCAAATACTAAAACTGTAATCTTCTTACCTCTTTTGCAAATTCTGTTGGTAGAATTTCGATGGCCATACATATTACTCCATCACCATCCATGTCATCATAGTATGAATCGTTCGAGGGATTAAACCTAAAGATAGTAATTAGCTCGAGGAGTTTCGTCATATAGTAACCGTAGAAGACTGAAAAGAATGCTCTTTCAAAGTATATATTACCTAAAGAAAGGGGAATCGATTAAAGTAGCTCGGTTAACAAATTCAATGGAGCCACCGATATCACAAGTTATATCACATATTCCCACTAGTGGACATCTTGTTTTTGTTAAATCTTGAAGCTGTTTGGTGCTCAGAAGACGGGGAAACTTCTTCTCCCAGTACATACAGTTTACTGCATGGAAAGTGATCATAGTTAACCAAAAATGACTTTACAGCTAAACTCATCTACTTTAAAGGTAAAAAACAGAGATCTGGATCGACCAAGAACAGACGTATACGGGAATATCTTTTCGTGGAACACTGGATTGTAGTGTTCCGGGTGTGCATAATAGTCAGCCTGCACATAAAAAAAAATTTGAAGAGTTAATTTCTGTTCTACTTTAATGTAGTGAAACAAAAGTCACAGATATGGAACTAAATTGTTAAGTGTTACTTTGTCGAACGACTTTGATGGATTCTTGTGTTCAACCATGTCTTGGCTTGTAATGATACAACCATACACTTGATAGACTCGCTTTGTTGATTTTCCATCTTGGCTAATTCTTTTGTCCTGCGCAAAAATATACATTTCATCGATAGAAACTTCTCACAAAACATATAAACAGATTCACCGGAATTTAATTTGAAATGTCAATACCCTAAAAATGAATAAAATAACTTACTTTTACAAATAATTCAGGAAGGTTGCTTGGTTCAACAAAAGTGTGAGGAAGAAGCTTGAAAATTTCTTGCGCCCCAAGAGAAGCTGCCGATGAGGAAAGTTTATGAAATGAAACATCTGCAGGCTGAGAGTTTCCGTAGGATTTAAGAAACTTGCAGTGGAAATAAAGAATTTACCATTTCCTGTTCCGGTGAAGACAAATACAAGAGGGCAGATTCCTAACGGCAGTCCTTGGCTTGCAATTTCTTCACCTACAGAAATCACAGCGGCTTTTGCTGCAGCCAAGGAGGAATACATATAGGATAACCCGAGCGAGAGGAAAGGCGTTGAGTATCCTAGACTTAGATATCCTGCATCAAACATGGAAAATTACATTCATCAATCCAAGAACTTGTGATTCCAATTCATCTTGATCAACACAGAATCATTCAACAAGAGCTTACTCAGTCCAAGTCCGTGTAAGATGTCAATAAGACCAGCTCTGCCTGCATATATACCAAACGCCAATAATCGTTTCCCATGATCCCCAACGATGAGCTCATAATCACACAAAGTCACTCTCTCAGAAAGAATCTGCAAATGAATACCCCTTGTTCAACATTCCTCAGTATCTTAAATAGGACTAAAAGGATGAATGAAAAATGTCTTCTTACTTTATCCAACAAAGGCATGTTTTCTTTCTGTGCCTTATGAGCATGAGAAAAGAAAGCATAAGCTCTCTCTGGAAGAATCATTTCTAGCTGCAAACAGAATCAACCCCCAAGAAAAACTCTTAATCTCATAAACTGATATATAAAAAGAAAAAAAATGTTCTCTTTTTTAATGCAAATTCCCAAACCTCAGGTTGTTTGATACCGAGTATAAGCCCACAATCAGACAAATCATCAGAAATTTCACATCCGACATCTTCATACAAGGCATCATGATGGATACGCTTAGCAGATGGCTGAACCACAATGCGGGAGATGCCGGTTCTGTCTTTGCCACCTTGTAAAAGGCGAGCGCAATGCGACGGTGTCAAGGGGGTTCGTCTCTCCCATTTGTTCACTGTTTCAGCTAGAATCCCAACAACTCCATTCCCCAACTTGTTCTCCTCACCGCCACTTGGATTCATCTTTCATGTAAAGCTTGTAATCTCACACTCCCTGGAATGATTCATTTTGACTTTTGGAGGTCGATTTAGCAAAATTCAAAACCTATTCTCCACTTAATATACCACAAGATTAACTACAATTCAAGTTTGAGCAGGCCCAAAATAGAAAGGTTTCCATAATTTTGACTGAGTTTGAAGGCAATAGAGGTTACTTCACCAACAAGATTGTTCTCGGCGTTTTACCAAAAAAGGAAAGATTGTTCTGAGCAAAAAAATACAACGGAAGAGGGAGAAAGAGAGCTTACCGATAGAGAAACTAAAATGATTTGTGAGATGGATTTTTCTCTTGCTCCGGGAATATGACACGACATTGATATTACTTACTACAAAGTACAACCTAATATACTCAAAATTCTAATCATTATCATATTTATATACTGATATTCTTGTTATTTTACACATATTTAACATGTGGTCACTAAAACATACCGACACATCAATTCTGCATTTGTCATATATTCGACCAAAGAAAATTGAAATATCTCCCTTTCATTTTCAGCCTTCTTTGTCTTCACGCTCCTATTCATTTTCTTTCCGAGCACGTTAATTATTATTTTTTTGGGGTCAAATTTGTTATTTTTATCTTCTTAAAAGTCAGAAAACTATTCTATATTATCTTTATCATGATTTGGCCGACAAAAGAAATATATATATATTATCTTTATCATGTCATTAGAAAAAAAGAATTAGTTTTGTCATTATATTATATTATCTTTACATGCATGATGCATCTACTTTCAATTATTTAGGCTTTTCTTTTTTTGTCAACAACGATTTATGTTAATAAATAGATCTGTAGACCAAATGTAAGTGTTAGTCTCGCGGACCAAATTTAGGTGTTGTATATGGACCAAATTAGATCGTGGGCCAAACTAATGTTTCTGAATTTTGTTTAGACCATTTAACTATATGCAAATACAAAAATAAGAGTATTTTCGTGACGAACAACAATCTCAAAACTCAAAAGTTGTCTTTCAAAAATTTTGTTTTAGAAATGATATTTTTCTTTTTTACTTTTTGTGGTAAAGATAAAGGCTAAAATTCCCCATCTAAACAAGAATACTAATTTAGTCACTTTTTAACACTTTGTATTCACATACATACACATGAGCACTTTAAAATGTACACGAGTTCTTCTGTACATATAATTATATAAACACATTTAGATACTCGTAACTCTTAAGGACTGAGGCATATCTTCTTCCTTCTTCTTTTTTCTGGTCTAATGTCTTTGTCTTCTTCAGCTTAGTCTCCAAGTTATAGAGAAACAATATACAGAGTTTTTGATCATTCTGTCTTCTCCATAAGCTTTATACCATATGCTTGCAATATATCCAAAGCTGTATGTATCACACCACATATCCCAAAATACAACAAATTAAGATCATCCTCTTCATCTGCAACACACATCATTACTTTTGTTATTTTAGTTTGTTTTCAATATTTCAGAATACATTTGATCTGATGTAAATAAATTAAATAAAAGTAAAATTTTAAATCTTTCATTTTGGTGTTCGAGTCAGTTATTTTCATAGGGAAGAACGATTAGTTATTTCATAGGGAAGAATAGTCAGTTATGTTCATATTTTATTGGTTCAATTTGGATCGATAGTTACTAAGAAATTTCAAATTTGATATAATCTCTAGAAAACGTTTAATTTACAGATATTCAAATTAAGTCGTATGGAAAGTGAGCAAGAGAGATAAGTGTTTGCTTAATACCAAACTCAAGAAATTCAACGCATGTAAAAGTAAAAAAGAAGCAAATAAAAGCAGAAGATAAATCATTAAAGAGAGATAAACCTCGTTTATTTAAGGATAATGATTCTTCATAGGAGCATAAACAAACAAGTGTTTATGTTTTTAAGTAGTAGTATTAAAACACTTTTTTCATTTATTTGCCTTGTCTTTGGCATGGAGATTGTCAAAGTAAGCCTTAGAGTTGGCCTCAAAAGCATCTCTAGGGATGTGAGCAGAGCCACCCGAACCGGGCGCAACCATATTCCCAGGACCAGGAGCAGTGCCACTGCTTGAAGTACAGCTGCTCTGAGCTACCGAACTAGCTTTTGCGTTAACATCTTTCTTGTCCATTTTTACGTTTCAACTCTTGACAATGTGAGCTTGTTTAGTATGAGTTTAAGACGAGATTTTTTTTGTTTGGTAGTGAGAATGAATGCGGTGGAGAGGTGGGAGAATTTATAGATGAGAATTGTTCAAATTAGTCAAATTAACACTTCCCAAGATTATCACCATTTTTTACTAAATTATATCGTGAAAAGCAATTGTAGTTAATTGCAAGGGAAATTTTTAATTGGAAAAGGGCAAGTGACTGTCTTGGAAAGCTACTTGGAATAATTCTTGTAAATTGAATTTATCGTATTTCATTACAGAGAATGCTCTAGTGCCTCATGAAAAGAAAAACATAATTTTTTCATTTATTTAAATTATGATCTTTATAGGAGAATCATTACATAGTATTATAGTAGCATGCATAAACATAGAAGATGCTTAAGATTCTAAACTATTACACTTTTCACTTATTTGTCTTGTCCTTGGAGTGAAAGTTGTCAAAATAAGCCTTGGATTCCACTTAGAGATACCTACAAAATGATTGTCTCGATTAAAACCATTACAAGAAGCTTAGACAAATCTCAAAAACGTATCATCCTTGGTCAGGATACTTGATGGAGAGCGTATTATCTTAATTCCTAATAGCTTAAGTCATATGATTTGAAATTCCTAGAGCTTAATTCCTAGAGCTTGCATGTCCTTAAATAAGTCATCGTAGGAGACCCTCTGTTTACGTTATCCACTACTTTTTACTATATACAAAAATATCTCTAATTTATTTATTTTCACTTGTTTTCTAATCTCACTGACCTTAACTTCATCAAAACCCACCAATATGTTGTATGTTCTCTGGTTGGATACCCCGTTGGCGATATTAGTTTGTTTCTCTCTGACCAATAAACTGAATAAGAGTATTTTCGTGATGAACAAGAATCTCATAACTCAAAAGTCGTCTTTCAAAAATGTTGTTTTAGAAATGATATTTTTCTTTCTTACTTTTTGTGGTAAAGATGCGGCTAAAATTCCCAGCTAAAAAAGAATACTAATTTTCACCAGTTTTATTTATTCACTTTTTAACAGTATGTGCACATACAAACATACACATGATCACTTACTACACATACATTGAGATATTGTGGACACGAGTTCTTCTGTACATATAACATATACATATAAACACATTAGATACTCGTAACTCAAGGATTGAGACTTATCTTCTTCCTTCTTCTTTTTTTTGGTCTAATGTCTTTGTCTTCTTCAGCTTAGTCTCCAAGTTATAGAGAAACAATATACAGAGTTCTTGATCATTCTGTCTTCTCCATCAGCTTTATACCATATGCTTGCAATATATCCAAAGCTGTACGTATCACCACATATCCCAAAACACAACAAATCAACATCATCATCGTCTTCATCTGCAACACACATCATTACTTTTGAAGCGGAATTCAAATGTACCTGGCAAATAGACCTCTGGTTCGAGAGGCCTTAAGACTCCTCTTGTCTTGATCTTGTCTTCAATTAACAGCTGCAACACACAACATCAGAAACATACGCTTAAAAATTTCAACTTAGAGAAATAAAGACAGGAAAAAGTGGTGATCAGTGTCTGAGTAAGGACCAGAGCTCCAATGGCTGCAGGGATCCCAACAGTCTTGGCCATAGCGGTCGTTGTTTGTCCGTTCTTGATGTCCCCGAATTCCAAAAGGGTCGCACTGTGCTTCTCTATACGTTTGCTTTCAGGGAATTCCACTTCTACTTCGTGATGCAGAAGAACCATGTCCTGAAAACATAATGCAAACGATTGTCCAAATCTGATGTTAGAGTAAGTACCATCAAATGCAAGTGAGAGAAGAAAACTACTGCTTTCACATCAAACAGAGACCTGCTCATTTCCGGAATAAGCTAGTTTCTCTTCCATTAGGTAGCAAGTTGCATCAAATACGCTTTTACACAGTGATGGAATCTCCCTCTCTTCGTTGAACCCCAAGAATCTAAGACACCACAAAATAATCGAGTTTAAGTGTTTCGTAGAAGATTTGGTATCACATAACAGCATTCAGATTATCTTCATGGAGAAGCTTACACAATTGTTTTGGCAGCTTTGGCTGCAGTCTCCTTGGAATATCCAAGCTTGATAATTCTCTTGCTTATCTCTTCTTCTCCCGCTAGAGGCTCTGACTCATTGTCTGCATCCTTTTTTAGAATGTTACTTAAAAGAGCACCAAACGTAATCCTCTTTCCAGTGGAGAGTACTTGATTTGCTTCATTGTCAAAGAATCCAAGTTTCGAAAGTGTTGCCATTATCATACTAAACCCTGTACAAGCCAAAAGAAAACAAGTGTTAAGCCTTCAGATGTCGAGAAGTGAATTGTGAGTTGTGATTATGGTACTCATGCCTTCATATCTGAGGGTTCCACGAAATATCGTTGTTGCTTCACCCTCGATGCCATAATGGTCCCCGTAAACCAAGGAGTTACGATTTGGAAGACACTCCAACGCAAAAGCTGGAAGATTAGGTACTCGGAATCTTGTGGCTGAATCATACAGATTCTCCCCTGAGATTTACACATTGCTCGGTTAAACAAAAATGATGTGTAGTGAAGCTAAACTACTCCGACCTCTCCTGCATATAGACATATTTTGTCTGTTATACCATCAACATGTACTATGTCGCCGTTGCTTTTATATTTGGCGGGGTTTTGGCCAGCTCGAATTGCTCCAGCAGGATTCCAGCTGAAAATATCGAGATGTAATTGAGTAAGCGAGATTCTGAAATGATGTCTAAATGAGGAAACAAAGGAAAATATGTTAATGGCGTAAAGGACTAATGTACCTAAATTTATATGCTAATGGATTATTTGCTGCAGCAGGAGAGGGAAGCCCTCCACAATATGAGGTAAAAGACTTCACTTTCCCCATTTTGATATGAGCCTCGTTGATCATTTTCATCGCCATCATGTGATCTGAAAGGTTCATTGTAGGATCACCTTCTCAGTTATCCAGGAAATATTTTGAAGATAAATGCACTAAAGGTAAATCAAATCTTAAGAGATACTATGTTGTGAGATATCATACCGATTCCAGGATCCAGTCCCATTTCGCCTAAAATCGTTATCCCAGCACTCTTAGCCTTGTCATGTAACATGGACGTTTCATCATCAACATAGCTAGCAGTGACGAGATGCTTCTTCAGCTGAGTGAATCACAAAGAAGAAGCAGAGGCATTTAGGATCCGGAAACTACTGAAAGAATGTGCTATGCAGAGGTCTATATTGAATTAATATTCGCAAATTTTATAACTTCCCTCGGGAAAACTCATTTAATGTTAGAAGTCTACCTCAATGCATGTCTTTGCTACAACAGCGTGACAACTTGCAGGTAATAAACTTAGGACAACATCAACCTGCGTGCAATGGAAAAAATATGAGATAATGGATTTAGACAGTGGAGTTAGGAGTAAAGGTATCTAAGAACAAAGAAGTTCGGAAAATACCTGAGAAACATACTTTAGGAGGCTTTCACTATCAGACACATCAAGCTGAACTGCTTCTACATCTGAAATACCTTCAACCGTCTGCGGCAAATTTGATCGTTAGTAAAACTTGAAAAGATTGATAGTTCAGTTCATTGTATACACTGAATTCCTAAGATGAAGCTCAAAAGCTTCTCATACCTCTTTGGCATCCTTAAGATACAGAGATGCGACAATCACATGAACATCTGTCTGTTCTTCAGAGTCTGCTCCGAAATAAGTTTTGTACCATTGCTGTGACGAAATGGTTCTGACTGAAGCAAGGAGCTCAGCAGCCGGGCGACACACACGTCCAGCACCAAGAATCAAAACACCTGATTTCTTTGTCATTTCAGGCTTCTCTTTTACTTCATTTTCTTGCTGGACCTTTCCAATCTTCAGTGAGATCTTATTGGCTTCTCTACGTGGAGATATATAATCTTCATTTGGATTAGCTAATCGAGTTAATGAATCAATGATTTGATCCAATACTCTCTTATCATCCGCACCAACCTACCAAGATAATGAAAGATTCTTTAACAAGTGGGTATAGGTTAAAGTGGGACCACAATGTTTTGGCTTGTAGTTTGTTTACTTGTTCTAAAACCTTACGAGACTTAGTGAAAAAGACATTGAACCTAAACCTGACATTAAGAACTCTTGACAGGTGTTCGATGTTAATGATTAGGTTTTGTCCAAAAAGAAACTTACTTCAAGTTCTGAGTACGATTCAGCATCGGCGCTCTGCCCCAGTTCACATTTAGCCAAATGAAATGAGCCACCTGCTGCTTCGATCATATCAAGAGCTTCGTTTATTAGAAACTTATCAAATAGGTGTCCGCTTAGAGATACCTACAAATAATTTGTATCAATCAAATTCATTACAAGATGCTGAGACAGATCTCGAAAAAGTATCAATCTTTGGTCAAAATTTTTGATTAGAGATATGAATATCTCGTGAAGCATTAGTCTTAGAATATTTACTATCTTAATTCATTTGCTCAAGTCATATGATTTTCAATAGTTATATTTACTTTCTTTCAAAACTCACCAATATGTTGTATGTCCTCTGGCTGGAAACCCCGTTGGCAATATTATCTTGTGCCTCTCTGTAGTTAAAGTTGGTATAGGTGAAAAAATAGTTTAGAGAAGAGACATAATCATTTCGTATAATGTGTATGAGGGTAGAAGCAGAACATACTCTGGATTTGACTTCCTCATACGTGGAATATACTCATACAAAGATGTCAACTCTCCCCTATAGCTTATGCAAGCCCTCTTCAGGTGTGCTGGTAGATCTGCAATTTCAGTCATCGAAGCCAAACTACCGACAAATTCTGAAAGAATATCTCCAAAATGCTGGGATGCCTTTTTCAGGACACAAGAACTCCAAATCAGTATACTAGGTTTCTAACTGTAGAATCAGTCCAAATACTAATACTGTAATCTTCTTACCTCTTTTGCAAATTCTGTGGGTAAAATGTCGACGGCCATGCATAGTACGCCATCCCCATCCATGTCATCGTAGTATGAATTGTTCAAGGGATTAAACCTAAAGATAGTTTTTAGCTTGACGAGTTTCATCATAGTAAACGTAGATGACTGAAAAGAAAGCTCTTCCTAAGTATATATTACCTAAAGAAAGGGGAATCGATTAAAGTAGCTCGATTAACAAATTCAATGGAGCCACCGATGTCACAAGTTATATCACATATCCCCACTAGTGGGCGTCCTTTTGTTGTTAAATCTTGAAGCTGTTTGATGCTCAGAAGACGGGGAAACCTCTTCTCCCAGTACATACAGTTTACTGCACAGTAAGTCATAGTTACACACTGGAGTTAGCCATGGTGAAGTAGTGGATAGATGAGTTACTTATATGTAAACTCTTGAACTTTAAAGTTAAAACAGTGATCAGGATCTACCAAGAACAGACGTATACGGCGATATCTTTTCGTGGAAAACTGGATTGTACTGTTCCGGGTGTGCATAATAGTCGGCCTGAACATCAGAAGCTTGAAGAGTTAATAGGTGTTCTGCTTTAATGTAGTGAAACAAAAGTCACAGCCTTGGAGCTAAGAAGTTAAGTGTTACTTTGTCGAACGACTTTGATGGATCTTTGTGTTCAACCATGTCTTGGCTGGTAATGATACAACCATATACTTGATAGACTCGCTTTGTTGATTTCCCATTTTGGCTAATTCCTTTTTCCTGTGAGAAATATACATTTCATCAGTAGAATCTTCTCACAAAACATATAAACAGATTCCCAGAATTTTCAAAACCCTGAAAACAAATAAAAAGCAAAGCATGATTTACTTTTACAAATAATTCAGGAAGTTTGCTTGGTTCAACAAAAGTGTGAGGAAGAAGCTTGAAAATTTCTTGTGCCCCGAGAGAAACTGCGGATGAGAAAATTAATGAGATGAGACATCTGCAGGCTGAGAGGTGCCATAGGATTTAAAGAACTTGCAGTAGAACTAAATAAGTTACCATTTCCTGTTCCGGTGAAGACAAATACAAGAGGGCAGATTCCTAAAGGCAGCCCCTGGCTTGCAATTTCTTCACCTACAGAAATTACAGCGGCTTTTGCAGCAGCCAATGAGGAATACATATACGATGAACCGAGCGAAAGGAAAGGCGTTGAGTATCCTAGACTTAGATATCCTGCATCAAACATGGAAAATTACATCTCATCTTGATCTGCACAGAAACATGTATTGCTCATCAGAAGAATAACATGAGCTTACGCTGTCCAAGTCCATGTAAGAAGTCAACAAGACCAGCTCTGCCTGCATATTTACCAAACGCCAATAATCGTTTCCCATGATCCCCAACGATGAGCTCATAATCACACAAAGTCACTCTCTCAGAAAGAATCTGCAATTGAATACCCCTTTTTCAACATTCCTCAGTATCTTAAATAGGACTAAACGGAAGAATATTAATGGAAAGTGTCATACTTTATCCAACAAAGGCATGTTTTCTTTCTGTGCCTTATGAGTATGTGAAAAGAAAGCATAAGCTCTCTCTGGAAGAATCATTTCTAGCTGCAAACAGAATCAACCCCCAAGAAAAACTCTTAATCTCATAAACTGATATATAAAAAGAAAAAAAATGTTCTCTTTTTTAATGCAAATTCCCAAACCTCAGGTTGTTTGATACCGAGTATAAGCCCACAATCAGACAAATCATCAGAAATTTCACATCCAACATCTTCATACAAGGCATCATGATGGATACGCTTAGCAGATGGCTGAACCACAATGCGGGAAATGCCGGTTCTGTCTTTTCCACCGTGTAAAAGGCGAGCGCAATGCGACGGTGTCAAGGGCGTTCGTCTCTCCCATTTGTTCACTGTTTCAGCTAGAATCCCAACAACTCCATTCCCCAACTTCTTCTCCTCACCGCCACTTGACTTCATCTTTCATGTAAAGCATATAAACAAGCCCTATCTTACACTCCCTGTAATAGATTCACAAACATTTCATATTTCGAGTTTCATCAATCAAACATCAAAAACACAAACTTTAATGTGAAACTGTTGAAATCGAACAAATTGGGAACAGAAAATTAAACGATTTTTTCTTGAGCTCTATAGAGAACAAAATTGGGAGCAGAAAATTAAAATCTAGAGCGATTAATTGAAAACACAAATCAAAACAGAGCAGAGAAGAAGAGAGAAACGCAAATCAAACCATTATTATTCCCAAAGAAAAAAAAGAGGGCAGTGATTGGGCTAAAGCTCTCTCCAAGTTTTGATTCCTCGTGATGGAAAATTATGGAAGAAGAAATCAAAACGTACCCTATGAGTTTGATCATGCAATGCCTGTGAGCTGGTTTGTCAAAGAATACAAAGCCTTTTTCTGTTTTGTTTTTTTAAGGTGTTAGTTTTAGGCGCAGTAACAATTTTGTTTCAGGTCTTTTTATAAGCTAAATTACGTATATGATTAATCTATTGTGAGGCGTCTTAGCGAAAGATTATATTTTGAATTTAAAATATAATATTTTTATTTTAATGTATGATGTGACAATAAATCATTTTTAATAAAACACAACAAAAAAAAAAATTATAGACGATACTCTTAATAGGATCTGCAATTTTTTGTGTAACACTAACATGTTGTTATTTTTTGTATTGAGTGTTTACAAATTAAATATCCACAATTAAAACAGTATGAACAAACTAATTAAGGTGTTTGGATAACTAGTTTTAGTTATAACTTAATTTTGGCTATAAGTACGCATTAATCCTGAAGCTAATGCGGCTTTCACATAATGGATATGCTCCGAAACTATGTAATGCTATATAGAGACATAAGACATTAATAAAGTTTGTATATACACACGAGTATAACGTGAGCCAGAGCCAATGTTGTAAAAATAGTATAAACTTTCTTTAAGAAAAGGACTAATCTATAAAAGTCATTGTTATTGATTATAGTATAATGCAATAGACGATAATGATGAAATCAAACTAAGCAATGGAAATAGTTATTTATACTATTTAAAGAAAGGAACAAACGTCGTGTTTACGTGGATGGATACTGGATAGGACCGATGGAGGATCCATCCAATCGAAAATGTTGTTGTATTACGTGTATTATTATAAGAGAAAGAGACATAGATGTGTGAAGACGTTACTCACGTAGCTACTATATCCTCGAATCGATGACGACGCTTACCACTTTCCGTGTTCTCTACGTCTTTCTTTTCTTAGTTTTTAACATAATCAACTCTTTAATATATTGGGTTATGTATGATGATTTCATGAATAAAAAAAGCTTATGAGAGATGAAGAATTTACTAAAATATTCCAAGTATATTGCAGAGGTTGGGCTTGAGTTGTTGTCTTAATATGGCCCAAGTTCCTTTGCATTGTTCTCATTCTTCTTTGGGTTACACAAATGCCAAGTTTCTTCAATTTAGGAACGCACAAGCTGACTTCAAAATCAATGTGTACGAGCAATGAGTATGGCCAAAATAGCAACAGGGGATGCATGGGCCAAGGTGGGCAGACATACGATTCAACCTCGACAAGTGTTCTTCTTATGACATATCTATGGGCCTTGCCCAATAAACTATTTCAAGGAAACAATTTGAAAGAGAAACTTGAACATTGTTTTGGTATCAGTTTCATCGATATTGCTGCAGCTTAGATTTCGTTGACGGCTTTTCTTTTGATTATTTTATCAGGTTTTATTTAGTTCCCTTTTAAAAGTTTTATTAAATAGACATAGTTAATTGGAGATGGCCTGGGAACAAGTTCTGGGCATTGACTTTGCAATGGCACAAAAGTCGATGCGAGAAGAGATTCCTCAACGAGGCTACAAAGTAACAGTGGTCCTATCCTTTTGCTTTTTACACCCATCTTTTTTTTCATACATTTTTTCCTCACAAATGAAGAACTTTTCTTCTTTCTTTTTTCTGCAATTTTTTTACGTTGCATATATATTGTGTGAATCTGAAACTCTCTAATGAAACTTTTCTGTAATATCAGTTGTTTACATAATTTTACCATGTAATTTTTTGTGATAAATGAAAGATCCAACACTATACGATGGAATCACTTTTATTTGTCTACACGAGTTGAATAAACATTTGCTAATTTCGGATAAATATAATGTGCATCTGAAACATAATGTTGGATTTAGAAACTTCACTTTCAAAGTGAGATTTTTCATAAACTCAAATAACCATAGAACAATAGCATATGCATGACATGACCACAAAAGTGCTTGATTTGAAAACAAAACAAATTTGATATGAAATCCATTAGTTAATAATCATGTATAAAGACCATTAATAACCAAAGAGAAAAAAAATAGATGAAAAAAAAAAAAATTCTCGGATGGAGAATACAACGCCAAGTTTGACAAAATGATAAAAGACAAATGTGACTTGATGCCCAAAAAAAGAGAAAAGAGATTTGTTTGTTTAATTTGATACGTATATATATAAGAGAAAACACGAGCAAAAGAAAAAGTAGTTACTTTTAATTTCTTATTCGAAAGGTAAAACTGTTTAAAATTAAAAAAAAAAAAAGAGAAAAAGAAAAAGGAAGAGAAAAAAAAGAAAGAAAGAAAGAAAGAAGAGAAGACAACCCACACGAATCGCCACTTTTGATAGTAGGAAGAGAGAAGAGAAGAGGCAGCTCCTAACTTTCTCTTTTGCTTTTGTCTCCATCTTTTAATTCACACCCGTGACCGTGCCATCTCCACACTCTCCGTGCGCTAATCCTGGTTTTATTTACTTTAATTAATGAATTCTCTTGTATGAACATAATGGGAACATAATGAATTGGGAGATGATAAAATGCTTCATTTTAAATTTCTGGTAGTGATGAGACGGTAGTAAGCATATTTTTCGTGTGTTCTTGATAGTTTTTACATATAGAATGGTGAGATGAAAACGGAATCATTCTACATGACTTTTTGAGTACAAAAAATTGGTAACGCTATTGAAAACTTACAACAACTAAAAAAAAGGTAGCTAGTTAGCGTTATTTCAGCAAACTTACACAAAAGTTAGTTGGCCTAAGTTTTTCTTTTGTTATTCTAAAGTCATTCACTGTTGAATAACTCCAAAATGCTGTCATAAATTATTATTTTGTTTAATGTACTGCTGTATTAACATAGTACTAATATTTAACCTGTATCCTCTCAATTGTTTTTCTAATGAGACAAATAATAGCAGTTTACAGTCAATATTTATTATGAACACAGCTTAGTTTAGGTTTGAGGATAGTAGTGAAGAAGAAGTTACCACACAATCTTTTCCCTTTTACTTGTCTTTCTCTCTCCCCACAAGAGTATCTTTGTAGGGGATTGTCAACGCTCTTCGATAGAGGTGCCCAAGAAGCTTCTCTTCTCTCTCTCTCTCTCTCTCTCTCTCTCTCTCTGCTACTACAAATCTCTTCTCTTTAAATCTTTCACAAGTCCCTCTCTCAGCTTCCTCACCACTCTTGCTCCAGCTCAAAGATCTTTTCTCTTCTCTGCCTCTGTATCCATCTCTCTATCTCTGCATTTCAACAAACAGGGCTTCTTCTGAAACAACAAGATGGGATTCTCAGCTGGGAAAAGAAAATCACGAGATGAAGAAGATACAACAGTGAGCTTCTTAGCTTCTGAATTCCCCATGGATGACCTCAGCGATGACGTTCTCGAGAAAGTCCTCTCATGGCTACCTACTTCTTGTTTCTTCCGTATGAGCTCTGTCTGCAAGAGATGGAAATCAACCCAATCCTCTAAAAGCTTCAAGCTTGCTTGCTCTCAAATCCCTACTCGAGATCCTTGGTTCTTCATGATCCATAATGATTCCAATTCTTCTTCCTTCGTTTTCGACTCCACTGAGAACACCTGGAAAAACCTCAACCGCCGCGATTTCCTCCACCACCGCCGCCGAGATTTCATCCCCGTCGCTTCCTCCGGCGGCTTGCTCTGTTTCCGCTGCTCAATTTCCGGCGAATTCCTCCTACGTAATCCTCTCACTGGATCTTCTCGTGACATTCCTTCTCCAATCTCTCAAGATATTGACAAACCTCTCCAAGCCGTAGCCATGACCACCACTGTTACTCCCTCCAGCTATAAGCTCGTTACCATCTCCGGTGAAATCCCAAATCTCAGTTTCAAGATCTACGAATCAAGTTCAGATTCATGGAGCAAAGACCAAGAACTGGAATTAGCCAAGAACAGTGATTCATCATTACGTGATGGTTCTGATACTGACATTGGCACAGTCTACTTTCTTAGCAAGAGTGGAAATGTTGTGATTGCGAGTAACAATCTTCAGAGAAGTCCATCGAAGCAATACTCTTCCGTTATTACCGTTACAGATGATGCCGAAATCGTCTATTTTCTCAGCTCTTACGGAACAATTGTAGCTTGTGATCTCACAAAACGATGCTTCACCGAGCTACCGAAGCTTCTTCCTCCGTTCTTAGAGTATTCCATCGACTTGGTGGAATGTAATGGAACAATGTATGTGATTCTCCTCTCTGAGTTCTTTGAAAGCGCGAGTTTAAGGGTATGGAGACTTGACAATAACAGGGAATGGGTTCAAGTCGGGATGTTGCCTCCCGCGTTGTCTCATGAGTTATATGGTAAAAAAGGCGACATAAACTGCGTTGGAGGAGCTGGAAACAAGATGCTTGTGTGCTTCAATGTGAGTCCTCCAGAGGTGCATTGTAGATACTTTGTGTATGATTTAGTTGCAGAAGAGTGGAGTGAGTTGCCAAGATGCGTCAAGGATGGAGAAGCTATGGATTTTGTTTCCGCTCTTTCGTTCCAACCTAGGATCGAGGCTACAGTTTGAAATTTAGCTTTTCTATCTATGGATTAGGTTAAATGTTTTTGTGTATTCTTTCTCCTCAGGAGAATGCAATGTAACTTGATTTGTAATCTATTGACATTGGTCAGAACAGGAATTGCTCTGTTCTAAGCCAAAACTATCAATGCTTTGTTGAAATTTAGCTTTACTTTCCAAATTCCAACTACCAATAATCACCACATGAGCAAATACCATCTTTGAACCGGTGAAACCGGTTTGCATCTCTAAGTACAATCTCTCTATCATACACCTTTGCTACATATTTCATCGCATTGTGACAATCTCCACAGATGCGTAGATTCTTAATCACCCGGATCGGTGTGGATGGAGGAGTGCTCAAAAGTCCGAAAGCAACTGCCAGCTTCTCGCTGTGGTAGTACAGGGCACGCTCTTTCTCTTCTTCTTCCACATCCACAAGTGTGAAATCTGTCTCAGGAACATACCCTTCTTGTTTGATGTCTCTTATCATATCTTTTACTTTCTTGTATATCAACTCGGTTTGCGGGTTTGACCTATCGTCCACGACAAATAGATGGATCTTGTTTTTCACCTCGATCCAACTGAAACCTGGGTCTTTTTTCACTTTGTGCCCTTTCATCATCGTCCGGGCAAGTTTCATCTCATCCCATTTGGAAGCAGCAGCATACATGTTGGATAAAAGCACATAAGCTGATGAGTCCAACGGCTCTAGCTCCAAAAGCTTAGTTGCCACTCTCTTCCCTGTTTCTGTGTCCCCTTGAACTCGGCAAGCTGCAAGCAAAGTTCTGTACATCGATGCTGAAGCTTCCATGGACATTGAGTCAATCAAATTTTCAGCCTCTTTAACAAGTCCAGCACGGCCAAGCGCATCAGCCAAACAAGAGTAGTGTTCTATTTCAGGTTTAATGCCATAGTCTCGATGCATTGATCGAATATACTTGTATGCCTCTGATACCAAGCCTGAGTGACTGCAAGCAGACAGAACGCCAATAAATGTGACCTTATCAGGTTTTATACCCAGTGATTCCATCTGTTTGAAAAGCTGGAGCGCTTCTTTCCCTTCCCCGTGTTGAGCTAATCCCACTAACATGGCATTCCAGGCAGTGATGTTCATCATCTCTATCCTTTTAAACAGACAATATGCATCGTCTATGCTTCCACACTTAGCATACATGTCCACAAGTGAAGTTCCAACGAATGGGTCACTCGTACAATTCAACTTGAGGGCATTTGCATGAATTTGGCGCGCCTGTTCTAATGCTGTCAAACAAGAGCTTGCTTTCGCAAGTGTGGCTATTGTAAATTCATCAGGCAACACTCCCATGAGCCTCATCTGGCTAAAAACATGAAAAGCTCGTTCTTCTTCTCCATTTTCTATGCATCCGGATATCATAGTCGTCCAAGCAACATCGTCAGGCACGGGAATACTATCGAAGGCAAACTGTGCTGCACTCATATCGCCACATTTTACATACATATCCAAAATCCCACTGCTGACCCATAGATCTAAGTCATATCCAGATTTGATTGCATAAGCATGGACTTGCTTTCCTTGATTTATTGCAAACAAGAAACCACATGTCTTAAGCACTGTTGCGAGCGTGAAATCATCAGATCTCTCTCCCTGTTTATGCATCAAAGCGAAGAGTTCCAGAGTCTTATGACCATCATGACTTTGGGTATAACCAGACATCATGGCATTCCAAGCGACGAGATCAAAATTATTCCTCCCAAACAAAACCTCTGCCTCTTTCATACATCTGTTCCGAGAGTAGGCATCAATCAGAGCAGTAGAGACAAAACTGTCAGCAACATTATTGATTTTAATTGCATGAACATGAATTTGTTTACTCAACGACAAGCCTTCAGGAAGAGAAGAAGCAGCCTTTAGAACACTCGTCATAGTATACTGGTCTGGTTTGAGGCCGCAACGTAACAACTGCATAAACAGACACACTGCTTCTACTTCTAGGCCACTTTGAGCTATTCCGGCAATAACTGAATTCCACGAAATCAAATCTCGTTCAATCATATTGTTAAATACTGTCCTAGCGAAACCGATTTTTCTCAGTTTACAGTACATGTTTATTAGACTGTTTGAAACAGTGAGCATCAAATCAAGTCCTAACTTCAATGCCATACAATGAACTTGCTGCCCTAATGCTAAACTATCTAATCTAACAGCTGTAGCTAACACTAAAATAAATGTGACTTGATCACATTCCAAGTCGGACTCAACCATATCCGCAAAACATTTGAGAAGAGCTGAATACCGGCCTGCGTGGAGATATCCACTCAATCTTTTGTTCCTGGATATTATTTCTGAAGCAGCAGACGCATCATTACCATTTTCAAAGGATTTCACTTGTCCTGCTTCAGAATCATCACCCGAAATTCTAGAGAGTAAACGCAAAGTGATCTCATTGGGATGTAAGCCACTTGTATGAAATGCAGAAGAGAGGTCAATTGCTTCTTCCTTAAAACCCATTTCCAGATAAGCCTTCAACATCAAGTTCCATAACACCACATCTCTATAAGGCATCTCCTCAAACAAAACCTTACCTTCCTTAACCTTACCAAACTTCAAATATATGTTAACAAGAGCTCCGGCAACAAATTCATCGCCGTGTAAACCGATCTTGCAAGCATACCCATGAAATGCCTCTGAAGCCCACACATACCCAGAATGCAAACACAGTTTCAACATCGGAGACAGAGTCATTCGACTGGTATACACAACGTTCTGGCGTAAAATCCGGAAAAGAAGAAAAGCTTCTTTAATGTTCTCGACAACATCTTCGGAAGACTGAGCATAGGCAGCTAAAATCGAGTTCCAGGAAACAAGATCTCTTTCAGGCATTTTATCGAACACTCGGCGGGCATAAGTGAGTGATCCACACTTTGAGTACATGGAGATGAGATTGTTGACAAGGAATCGTTCTGGGTTTTCCTCGAAGGTTAGGATACGTGCATGTGTACATTTTCCGAGCATCAAGTCCGACGTGGAGATTGCATCCCGAAGAAAGCCGAACCATTGTGACGAAATCGAGGAAGATGAAAACGAAGAAGCAGGAGAAGTAAGACGTAGAGGAGGAAGAGAAGGGAAAAAGAAGAGACATTGAACTTTGGGAGATCTGTGAAAAGAGAAAGGGATGGCCTTGGAGGTTGCTCGCATGATCGGGTTAAAAATGTAACCTTTTAAAGTTGAGAGGTGTTATCTTGCAAACCAAGCAACTCATGAGATGGTTTATGAACCGGTTCTTGCATAAATTTCACCTTTTACCAAAAAAAAAAAAAAAAAAAAAAAACCGGTTCTTGCATAATCATGTCTCCGGAGAATCCAATTAGCATTTGATTAAATTAATTGGTTTAAACTTCAAACTAACGACCAATTATTTTTTTCCTACGTCCGTTAACTAAAATGTGCTTAAATTAGTTAAAAATATACAACTATATTTTTTCACAAAAAATACAAAATACAAATTGTATAAAGAAATTCCCTTAAACTAATACTATGTGCTTAGGTTATAGGCTCCAACCACCCGAACATCTGATTATTATGGCCTAACAATTTCAAGAATATTGAACCTAAACACAAGTTTTTAGATTTGACACGAATTTTGACATAATCTACAGTGTGACATAACTGAATAAGGCTTTAAATGGGGGAGATTTATGTATTGTTTTTTTTTTTTTTTTTGCAGCTGGAGACTTTTTGTTTTTAGATTTTTGGATTTTCTTGTTTCTCAAAAAAAAATTCATCATAAAAATAGTTTTTGGATTTTCTACCAAAAAAAACTCTTAGATTTTACGAAAACAAAATCTTTAAGAACTTCATTAGGTAATAAAATGTTTTTTTCGAAAAATGAAGAATCCAAAAAGTATAGTAATACTAAATTACTAATATCTAGTTTTTTCCATTAGAAACCATTATTGTACAGATTCAAACAAAAACAATTACTCGTGTTTCTTCTTGTGCATTAAAGAATGGAAACAAATATAAAAAAAAACACCATTCCTTTAACGTTATGTCCCTACACATTGAATAAGATTATCTTCCATGATCTTTTTTAATCTTTTCTCCATTTCTCACCCTTTCTCATACTCTCTCTTTGTCTCGGACAAGAAGGCTATAGAGAGATATGTCGCTGTCGTCTTACCTCAGCCCGACGCGCCTTCTAGAAGGCTACCTCCGCCGTTGCCTCACGTCGGCAGGACTGACGTCGCAGACGCTTTCCATAGACTCTGAAACAACCATCCACTTCTGGGGCCCACCACCTCTAGACCACCGGAGCGACGACGACGACAAACCGGTGATGCTTCTCCTCCACGGCTTCGGTCCATCCTCCATGTGGCAGTGGAGGCGACAGATTCAAGCCTTCTCTCCCTCCGTTTTCAGGCTTTATTCTCCCGATCTTGTCTTCTTCGGTGACTCTACCTCTTCCTCCACCAATCGCACCGAAGTCTTCCAGGTTTTTATAAACCTCTGACTCTCTCTCTATGTAGTTATATATTATATGCATGTTTTGATTCCACAAATTTCCCACTAGATTTACCGATAATATGTAAAAATCAAAGAAACAGAATTGAGAATGAATACGAACATTTGCATCAAGATCGGTGAAACAATTAGCTAGAGAATCAAAGAGCAAAAATATTTCAGAATTTTGTTTCTTTTAATTAGGATAAAGTAATCATTGTGATCAATCCATCATGCTCCTAGAAACTATCCTAAAAATATTTGAACTCTTTTTAATATTAAACACATATCTTAATATAAACAATTAGGCGGAATGTATGGCAAAGCTAATGGAGAAAATAGGAATAGGGAAGTATAATGTGGTTGGAACTAGCTACGGGGGATTTGTGGCATACCACATGGCCAAAATGTGGCCGGAAAAAGTGGAGAAAGTAGTGATTGCAAGCTCTGGTATCAACATGCGAAAGTGTGACAGTGAAAGTTTATTGCAAAGATCCAACTGTGAGTGCATCGAGAAAGTTATGTTACCATCCACTGCAACTGAGCTTCGCACACTTATGGCTTTGGCATCTTCGTGGCGATTAGTTCGTATGTTTCCTGATGCTCTCTGGAACGACGTTATTAATGTAAGTAGCTAAGTGTTGACTGTTGTCTTCTTCTTTTTCTTCTTTTGGCTTTAGGGAAAAAGAACAATTTTGTTGAAAATGAGTATCATCGTTAGTGACATAGATCACACTTTTAGTGACATTAATTTATTCTCGAGCTAAACTTTGAAACTAATGTGGACTTATAATGTAGAATTTATATAAGAAGAATAGAAAAGAGAAGATTGAATTGTTGAAGGGGGTGACTTTCGGCCGCAACGAGAATTTAAACATCGATCCTCTTTCTCAGGTATGCAAGGCTTCTTTTTATTATTCAAACATTCATAAAGCTATGTATTTACGTAGTTGTTACTTCATAGGTAATACGAGTACTTAAATGCGATTCATCTTATTACCGTTACATGTTTATAATAATAATATACAAAATCTTAGGAGGTCCTAATTGTATGGGGAGACAAAGATCAGATATTTCCTGTGAAGATGGCTTACGAATTAAAAGAGTAAGTAAAAGTGTATCTTGTTCACTTTTAAACGTATACTAAATGAATTGTTCCCTAAATTTCAGATATTCTTAAGCATATTATTAAAATGTTAGCCTATAATGGTTGGTATACTTGTGTAGGATTCTTGGAGAGAAAACGAAACTAGAAATCATTGACAACACTTCACATGTTCCTCAGATTGAATGTGCGCAAGAGTTCAACAATATCGTTTTGAGATTTTTGAAGGGTTGTTAAAAGCGGTAATTTTATACATTGCTACATGATTCTTCAGCTTGTTTGGTGTTAAACTATTGGTTATGAATTTTGCTACTTTACTTGCCATGCTTTCTCATTTTTCATGTAATAACTTCAAATATTGTGTCGCAAGATATTAAACACTAGATTTTATACCGTGCTGACTCATTATAGAGATTTATATTTCTAGCAGATAGTAATATTAATATGCAAATGCCTTTGTAGTTAATATGCAAATTTATGATACGAAATATAGGTATGAAATAGTTAGACGGAGTTATGAATTTGGCCACCAATACAATGACACAATTAAAGTGGTTCAAAGTTGGTGGTTCTGAAACTGCCAAAACTATAAATCACACTCTCAAAAGTCAAAAAAGTTATCTAATCAATTTTTGTTGACGTGAATGAATCCCTCACGGAAATGACATTGATATAATAAACATATGTCGTTGTCGGCAAGTTTGTCCACTAACGTTTTCTGAGGAAGCAATGGACCATTAAAATGAATCTCAAAGAATTATGAGAATTCATTACTTAATATTTACAAAGATGTTCTACCATATACAGTCCAAACAAAAGAAAGAAAAAAATCACTGACAAAGTTGCACGACTACAAACATTTGGCCATAGCATAATTCTACAATTACCAAGTCTAAGCTTCAAATTGTTCATTCTCTTAAAGAGAAATTTGCAATATCAAGTCTAATGGCAACTCCAATTGATGCATAATCAAGCTCATATGTATCAAATGATCTGCTTTGAGGTTGAAGCTGTGGAGGGTTTCTTCACAAGGGACTGTGCACAAGTATATTCTGATACGAATTTTGGTGGTTCTATTTCTGATGGGTCTAATACTGGAATAGCCTTGTCTATATCTTCTGCGGAGAAAGGAATGCTGCACACAACAATAACAACAACAAAAAGAGATTGATAAATGTGATGTAGATAACTTGTGAACTAACTACATCTGAGTCTGAGTTATGCAAGATCAACTTGATTAGTGAGACTCCTAACCCTCAACAAAACCCTAAAAATGTTAAAAGCTTTTTTCAATCTACAAGGATTTTCAGTTCACATGCCATTTAGCTTTCGTTGAGGTAGAGATATAACATTTCTATTACTATCATATGAATCTCCCTACGTATAACTAAACTTGAGAGCCGAATACCCTTTGAGATATATCATTTAGATGACACAAACAAAAACGGAAGAGAACAATAATAATACCTCATATCATCATCCAGCAAGAACGAATTTGATGTTAGTTTTTGGTTATCCTTGTCCAAAAGTACCCTCATTTGAGAAACCACCTACAGCACAAAGATATGTGTAAAGGTGTTTCAATAGACAAAACCCAATCAAACTCCCAGAATTTAGAGTTTAGACATTAACTCACCTCATTTGAGACACTTTGAGTTCCATATTTATCATCCCAGTACATCGTACTTATTCTATATATTTGCCTTATTGTCAATACCTATAACAGAATTAAATAGTGCCGAGTTTTCATGAGATTGCAAAACTGCTTACAGCCTGGAATCGAAAGGAACAAAAATCAGAAGCCAAACAAAATATTAACGTACCGGGCATAGATCCTGCCTAATTTCATCCAATGATTTCTTTCTTTTCTGGTGTATAACCTAAGATGAAATTTTAAAAATTGCATAAAATACAAACCAGTTAAATGCAAGTTGCACTACAAAAAAGAATGCAAACTTTATTTTATCAGAGAAGAAGATGAGTTTTTACCAAAAATCCAACAGCTTGTCTAATGTAATTTAACTCGTGCCAAGATGTTCCTGCAAACTGCATTCACAAAATTTAAGATCACAGATAGCATCCATCTATGAAACAACCAACGATAATATTACATGGTGTACCTCCTCCGTCGCATTGGCTATCCACTTCTCCAATTCTGAAATCCCAGATTTCACATATTCCCCATTTGAAAATGTGCAACATTCACGACGAAGAAGAAGACTGAAGAATAATTCAGATTAAATATGCAGAAAACAAAAGTAATCTACGGTAAGTGATACAACAAAGAACTGAAATTAAGATCACAATTACCTGTTGAAAAGTGATAGGTTGATAAATGAGAAAACCTGAGTCACAAGTTTGCGAATGAAGAACGAGGGTACCTAACAATACAATAGTTAGGTTATAAAAAATAAAAATAGACATAGTACATGAGAAGTGTAATTCCTAATCCTCGTATGTGGAGAAACAGGATAATAACAAAGTAAGTACTATATCTTTCTCTTTTTTTTTAACAAATAGTAAGTCCTATATCTAAGACAATAATTTAGAGCAATACAATCTACATAAACTCAGAAGAGTGAAAGTTTCTGTGGCAAAGAAAAACTCATAAGAAGCAGCGCTGGTAGAAACAGACATTATGATTGAAACTATGGGATGTGCATACATGATTTTCGCGTAGGCGGGACATAAGAGAATCCAAGAATTTGAGTATACTTTCCCATTGACTACTCGGTGATTGCTGCGGCACACCACCTGGTGATCTAGATTTTCCAGCAATCCCTCGTGAAGCTTTGGGTGCCTTGAGATTCATTAAAGAAACACGTGAAAAATCATAACATATTTCCACAAAACTTTCTGTATTTTGAAACTAAAGAGATGGAATCTCCACCACAGCTCAGTAGAACACAAAATTTATAATGCAAACTTCACCAAATTGTTATTTTTGAGGAATAAAAGGTACCAACAATCAGTCAGATCTTCTGTCACATAAAAACATATAATGCAGTATACAACTTGATACTATGTATTCCAAATAAGAAACAATAATTTCTCAAAAAAAAATTCCCACCAAATGGCATATAAAACTGAGTATTTTGATGAACTTACCTGAATGCATGATCCCAGAAGCGGTGATAATTCCTTTTTCAAATTATCACGAATTAAACCATAAATCTTCTCCACACATGCTGTCAGCTGCTGTTTAAATAATAATGCTGGATATCTAGCTTCTATATGCGAAGCACCATCGTCAGGTACATGAAGTTTAAAAGGAGACCTTACTCCCTGGAACGCGAGAAACAGAATCTTAGTTTACTCAGAGAACATCTTACAGCAAGATTATACTCTACTACTGAATCTCAATAGTGATTCAATTCCATAAAAATGAAAAATGCAAACTACTATCTAGTCTCAAGTTGAGATATCAATTGACTCACATATGCAGCCCTCCCAGAACGCTGAGCACTAGCATTTAGAAAACTATTTGACCGCAGATTTCTCTGCAAGAGGCATAGAAGTGCTGAAGCGTTTGAGAGCCAATATGGTAATACACCGTTTTCATCTCCACCCTGAAATAAACATATAAAGCACAGACGAAAATCTTACATGAAAGAGTTCCTATCAATTTGTTTAAGGTAATCCAACTTGGAAGAAAGTAGTTACAAAATCCCTTCAACAAGAAGGAGATCGGGTAAAATATGTTACAACAGAAGGATCACCTTCAGGGCTTCATTGATTCCCTCAATAATGATGTTAAATATGGCTGTGCTCTCAGATTCAAAGGCATGCCAGTGCAGAAGACATTTGTATATTACACAAGCAGCCAGTGGCTTATCATCATTGAATCCCAAATTTTCCTTTATACACCTGGAGAGCAATTCGTAGTTCTCCTGCAATAAAATGGTAACTTATGTCAAAATAAAATATCCACTTAAGCCAACAATAAAAACGCATTATGTTACTATCACTACAAGAAAACAAGGTTCTTCAATCATAGTCAAACATATTGATAGCTCAATAAAAATGACAGTGAATTTGTACCCGGTTTCTTTCTGCAGTGAATTTTGATCTACGTGACTCTGACAGGCTATGTGAAAATGGCATGATGTGCTTTGAAGGTGTTGGTGTCTCCTGTATATATTTATGACATAAGTAGAGTACTCATTTTCAAGTATTTACAAACTAGGAAGATATAGAAAAGATGGAGGTAATGAACAAAAGATAAAGGTAAAAAAAGATTGATGGCGTAGTTACTTACAAATACAGATCTCCTGTCATTTTGGGCTGGTACAACAGCACTAGCGTGCTTCTGCTGGGGAGAAGGTTATAATAAACAGTTAGTAAAAAGTGAAGACCAAATAAATCAGGATGACAAATTTGTGCTCAGGAAAAATGAAAGCACATGCTTCAGAGTATTTTATCTATTCCACAGGAGCTATGCTCGAAGGAAACCAGGAAAACCTCAATCAATTAACAGGCAAGGTGTTGGAGCGCATGTTTCAAATATAAAGGAAACTCCCAGAGTGCAGTACTTCCGCACATGCATATATCAGCAGAGAATAGTCAAAGATCACATACTTCACCAAGTACCTGTTCTATTCTCTCTGGGGATGTGATTAGCGTCTTTTGCCTCAAGACATGGTTCTCGTTTTCCAGATGAGAGAGTTTCTCCTCAAGACTGAATAAAAAACAACTCAAACAATAAAACAGATGCTTTTAGGAAATAAGAAATAGGAGTGCCTTGAGAGGAGAAGTGCAACTACAAACCATTGAACACTCGTCTGGAGTTCAGAACATCTTATTTCAGCTTCCTTCAACTTCTGTAGTGTGTTATTGCAATCGGTTTTAGCATTGAGAAGCTCCTTCTCCAGAACCAGATTCTTCTTTTCCAAGGAGTTCATCGAATTCTGTGAATAAAAAGTGTTAGCAGAAACACATGAACAACCAAGACGACAAGATTTGGGTCTCTAAGCACAGAGGGAAAACATTATTAAAAAATAACCAATACGATGCTATGTTGAAAAACAGAAAGAGCAGTGAACAAAGAAAAGAATAAGACAAGCTGATTAAAGATGAAATCACTTTCGAGACCATTGCTCAGAATCTCGTACTACCCTTTCACAAACACAATTAATACATATCGAACTTCGCACTCTCCCGAACCTAGATCAAGTTAAAATAATCCATGGGAATTTCTGTATAGCCAGATATAAGGGGTGTCTATACTTCAAACGGCAGCCACCACTATTTAAGCACAAACTGAGAATCAAGGAAGAGCACGAAAGCATGAACAACCAGCAGCTTAATTAAATCATGATTGCAGTTCACCTAGGGGAAGAAACTTAAAGTCTCTTTATGACGAAGAAAGCTGAGATGCTATTAGTAAACTTCCAAAAAGAAGTCCTGTATATTTACATAATAATATCAAACTATCAGGTGTTTCAAATTTCTGTAGATTTTCTACAAATTCTTTGCCAATCAGCCAAGGAGAAACCTTAGGTAAATATCTAAATTAAAGAAAAATTAATGATGGAGAACAGAGCCCTTAAAAGTCCAAGTCCCAAATCCTAAAACAACAAGCTGTTTAACATGTGTACAGTATAAAAGAGGAAAAGTACCTTCAACAAGGCGTTATCTTTTTTTACTTCAACCATTCCATTAAGCTCTCTTTCAACAGCAGACTTCTCCTTCATGGATATGTCTAGTTGCTTTTCAAGTACCGCATTTTTATTGCACTCATTAATGGTAGCCAGCCTAGCTGCGTCTAATTTGAGGCTGAAGGATTCCAATGTTTTCTGAAGCTTGGATATTTCACTTGACTTGGCCTCCTCACCACTTGTCTGTATTTACAGCACTGTGTGGTTATATACTCTGTTTCAGGAGATAAATACAATATAAGTGACAAAAATTGGCAACATACTCTCAATCGTTTCTCGAGCTGCAACCGCCATTCAAGATCTTCTAACCGTTTTTCAAGTTTCGTTTTAGCTAACCGCAAAGCACCTGCTTCATTAGCAGCCTGCAACAGATTGATGTGCATGTTCATAGTTTGAGTGATAGGTTAACTACTTAGTGAACTGAAATAATCCTGCTTTAGAACATAACTAAAACATACCTGTTTAAGTTTTCTGAACTCTCTATTCGCAAGCTTCTGTCGCCAACGACACTGAATAGCAATAATAGATGACTGACGGTGCCTGAATGCTGAGCGAAACTTATGGATTCTCCAATGAGCCTAAAAGATTTTATAATACACAATATTCAAGCACAAGAAATGCATTAGAGCCTGAAATCATGAATGAGGTTAAAACATCAGGAAACTAGACGACTCTAGATTACCCTATATAAGAACTTAATAACACAAAAAAGTGTGACGCACATGTACCCTACAAACTTGGAGATCGTAAGTACCTGAATTAGAGAAGCTGCTCGATGCTCTTTCTGATGTAAAAACTTTAAGCGAGTTGAGTCACCACGGATGCAAGACTGTATTACAATGCCAGCTGATACAAGTTTTACAAATGCACATCTTGACAGCCACCTGCGTACATGCTTTTGGACCAAGACCGCTGCCGCAGCATTCCTTCTGGTGGCATAAGCATTTCGAGACAGGCATCCTTGCCAACAGAGACTATTATTAGGCTTAGAAATAAAACAGAGATAGGAAAAAAAAATACAAAGGCATTAATTCACAAGTAACCACAATTTGCATGGGTGATTCATGTGAACTTGTTTAGCAAAAGAAATCAATACAATAATTTTCAGGGAATAGGGTGTTGGATATCTACAGATTTCTCAAGAATTGATAAAGAATACAAAAATTTTGACTGCAAGAGAAAAGCACATGCACAAATAAAGAAGAAGAATAATAGTAAATGAGAAAGGAACCTCTACAGTATGCCTGAATTGAAATTGCAGAAGCCCGCGCAGAGATGAAGTTCTGTTGTGTAACAAATGTTCTCAGTCTTCGCTGAATGAGTCTTGCAGAAGCATCAAGCACTTCAGTCCGCCTAGAGTCCAAAATGCCAATTTGACCAGCTCTTAGGAACACTTTTGTCCTTCCTAGCTGTGAAAGATGTTCCAAATATTAGCAAATCAATTAGAGCGTCTAACAAGAGCCATGCAATAGCGAAAATCATTTGGTTTTTCAGCCCACCATACCTGATAATTCCGAAGACCTAATTTACTCAAGATTTTCTCAGTCAGTGCCTGCTCATCATTGCTGCACATAAATTATATATTAACAAATTACTCTTGCTTGACAATAAGGATTATTTAAGGCAGGATACAAGAAATTAGAAACATTAATGAAATCTGGTCCAGGGTATTTGTCCTGTCTGGCCAAAAGCTATAAATAAAGCTTAAGTTCTATAGATACGTCATCTAGTATTCCTTAATCACGCGGTCAGTGGTCACAGAAACATGTCGAATAACTTTTGTACAGGTTCCCAAAATTGCAAAGACAAGTATAGGACCAAAAAAAAAGAAGTATAGGACCAGTAACACTCTAACAATAATCTTAGAATCATTGATAAGATAATCGTACCTCTCATCCATGAATTCTGGAGCTAGCAGACCAAAACGATCCACGAAGTCTGAATAATTCCTTCGAGTGGGATACCCTGCTAGACTAATCCGAACAGCTTCCAGTACACCCTATCCAAAAACATCATTAAAGTTAATAGAGCAAACAAAGGAAACGGGAGGTAAGGCAAGAACATGAAAAGACTAGTACAACCAGCTGAGTGTAAGCAAAATCACTTCAATTGGTCAACTATAAGGACACAATCAGGCAATTCAGAAAACGGGTGTAGCAAAACATGTACTAAAATAGTTAAATAACACAATGGCCTTAAGAAGAGAAGGCTAACGTTACATTTTAGTTACATCAACAAATGTGCACAGCGATAGTAATATCAACGATGTGTACAAACTCCACATTTATAAAGATGACCAAGACCAAAAAACTAATGAGCAAGAATATGAACTTTATAGCCTGACATGGCATGGAAAAACATACGCATTCTGTGACAAGAAAAGATATAAGCATGCTAAAAAAAACTTGACACACTTCATTTACGTTAATAAAAGAACAATGGAGACACCAGACTAGCTACAAAAAAATAAACAAAGAAAAAAGCTTTCTCTCATTATAGAAACACCATGATAACCAAGGAAAATGAGAAAATGAATTAAGATCACGTAATCCACTAACCCCACAACGAAGTTGATGTAAAACACTAAGACTCTCAAATTTTTGAGGTCTGTTGAGTGAGTTTGGCTTCACACACCGAACATAGTGAGGCTCTGTTTTGCTGAGAGTTTCCATGAGGGCTTGAAGTTGTTGCTAAAATCAAAATTATATGATCAGATTGATGATTGGTTTTACGATCAACAGTTCTTGATATACACAAGTTTCATGACAGAGGACCTTGCAATGTGAAAAAGAAAATAGCTGGAAAAATTCCCTACCTTAAATCTGGAAGACACAGAAGAAAATTTGTAAGAAGATCTGGTAGACTCCTCCGGGGCTGAGGGGAAAAGTCCAGCAACGAAAGGGCATTTGGAGGAAGACAGCAGATTGCAATGCTCCACTATAGTATAATCACGGTTTTTATCCAAAAAGGCTTCAGTTTGATAAGTAACCTGCAGAAATGGTGTGGCACAAACTCATTGAGATCTTAATGAAACAAAATAACATTAAGCTATGTCCTAGAGCAAGACTTGCCTTGCCAGCATAATGAGAGAGAGTAAAATCCGTCTCTGAAAATTTTTCCTTCTCCAATCTCGAATGAAATTTAAAGTTCTGAAACAGCTTCATTGAAAATGACTCATGAGTTGATCTAGGAAACATGCTGCATAAAAGGCAAACATATATATGTCAGCGAGCAAAGAAAATACACGTATTGTGGATACACAAAAATGAGACAGGAATATTGTACCAAGCTTCATCCAAGAGTGCAATTACCCCAATAGGCTTCTGCAGACGGCAAAAATAATAATAGTAGAATTAGAGGAAGATAGATCAATTTTACTGTCATGTCTGCTTGATGTTAACAAAGCAAAAACATTAAAAGGGACACAATTCTTGAGGCTGGCAACTACATTAGAAAGATTGAAAAGAAAATAAACTATTCTATGTTATCTCTGTTATTAAAGTCTACTATACCAGAATGCAATAAAACCATTAACCAAAAAGGGAAATGTCTTTCACAAATATTCTATCATTCTTGCATTTATAGACTGGAGCCTTTCTCGTCCATATTCTATCATGGTAATAAAAATGGCATCTTGAGTAACTTTAGACACGGTAAATGTATTGGCTACATTAACCAGACCAATGTATGACACAGTACAATGTAACATTAGTGATACCGTTAGTTTCAAAACTATGCTGATGGAGTTGAGTAATCAAAGCAGGAGCAAGAATAACATTGAACCGCTCAAAAAAAATTTGAGTTGACATGATTCAACAAATCCCCTGTTTAAAGGGTGTTGAACTCTTTTCTCGACAATCTATATAAAACTATAGTAAAATAGATTAAAAAAAAAAAGACATGATATTTTGACACCATGGTCAAAATCCCATATTAAAGGTCTAATACAATTTCAGCTGTTGCAAGTTTCACAGATCACAAAAAGCGAAGGGGCAAGAAATTAGAACAAAACAGGATCTAAAATCTAAATCTAATTAAAACAGAGAGAAACGTACCTTCTCAATAAGGTCCAAGACATCTTGGTTGTCAATAAACTCGATATAACTCCAATTAATTTCTTCTTTTCTGTACTCATCCTGCTCCATCTTGAATACATGCTGAAAACAGACTAGAGACCATAAGGAGAGGAAGCAATATTCTAAATCTAGCCAAATCTTTGAAAATGAGTTCCCTATATTACCTCATTGAAATGTTGCTGCAGCTTTTCATTTGCAAAGTTGATGCAAAATTGTTCAAAACTGCAGAGTGAATCAGCCCAGATAAAGTTTACAAAGTTCACAGCTAAACATGGTGCACCATATATAACTAACAAAGAATTGGGGCTGAAAAAGGAAAGAACTATCATTTAGTTAGTTCCACGGATCATCGCTAACCTGTTATTCTTAAAACATTCAAAGCCATAAATGTCCAGGACTCCTATTTGAAAACGAGATTCTGGATCTTGCCCAACAGACTTATTGATCTTATCAACCAGCCTGAGAGAAGCATAAAACGAATAGTTCAACATAAGTGTTACATCAACAAACATCCGTTAAATGAAAGGATTAAGAAAGTAAAAGCAAACCAGTCAAACAGATGGGCGTAAACGGTCTTCGCGAGGGTATCCCGGCTAGCAACAGCAGCATTAGGGTCGAGTGCTTTGATAATGATACCTTCACGGGTCAGAATTGAACGTGTGCAGAGAGAAGCCAGCAAAAGATTTGCATCACACCTGATTAATTTTGCATGGATACAACAAAATAAACAAGCTATTTCTTGTATGCAAAATTAAAAATGAGTACTATCAGGAAATTTTATGTACTTGAAAAGATCAGCAGCCATCTGCAGATGATTTCTAGATTCCAGATCCTTTACCACTGAAGAGTCGTGCTCTCTCCCTGAGGAAAACTCAACATTTCCAAGATGTAGAATCGCAGCAAGTGTGCGGAATATCCCTTCCTGATAAATGATTTGTGCAGGAAACAAGCAAGGAATTTCAGAAACTGTCAGAAGAAAAACATATGAAAATTCAATAAGAAGTCGAAAGACCTGCTCATCATGACTTATGCCCACAATATCCATTGCCCTCCTTGTATTCTTATACTCTTCTGCGCTGCTGACTCCTTCTAGTTCATAGGTCTTGCTTTGATTTAAATAATGAAATTGACGAGGGTTGCTTAGTTTATATTTCTCAGCGTCCTAAGCAAAATAAGAACATTTACAGGTTAGTCATCAGCGTAGGTAAATTGACAAAATCAGCGAGAAAAACCTGGCGTAACTCAATCAGATAATAAGAAAACCGAAACCAATCTCTTATGATATGTATACAGAGCTGGAAAAAGAATTACATTCCCCGAAGCGCACAATTGATAAAAACAATGATAATTCCTCTCGGGGTCTGTTATGCGGACTACACGTGATCTCTCCAGAAGATAGGTTCTGATTGCAGCACCAGATATTCTACCATTTGTGTCAAACTGGATTTCGACAAACTTTCCAAAACGGCTGAACAGCAAAAAAATCAGTAGATTGGTCAGTAAATTCGTCAAAAAGCTAGGCCCACACAAAAAAAATAACTGCAGTAAGTACCATAATTCAAAAATAAGATGCAGTAACAAAACATCTAGAATCCATAATGCATTTAAAATTTGTAAAATGAGATTCCAGAATCATAAACTCTAACTTCTTTATATACGAAACGAAAAAAAAAAAAAAAAAAAGAGGAAGCTAATTCCTCCCATTAGCAGTAAGATTGTTACCAAACTTCAAGTACAGGGACTATTATAATAAACCAAACAGACCTCATAATGCATTTCACACTGGTACAAGGGGCCTTCAAGTCCTAGTGAAAAAGTTGTCAATAGACCATACATCTCAAGTAGAACTGCTACTATATTTCAAGCAAAAGGTTTACTAAAACCATACCAACAACATAAAATGCCATTATCACTGGTTTCTAACAGCTCAACATAATTCACTATAAACATAACGGCATCCAAAAATGCTTCTATGTGTATTAACGATACTGTCATGGTAAATTTGTTGGAAATGACATAAGAGCAATTAAAGAAACACCTCCCAATTTTCATTGAAAAAATAAACAGAAAGAAAAACAAAATTCCATAACCCACCTGGAGTTATCATTTCTAACTGTTTTTGCATTGCCAAATGCTTCCAAGAGAGGATTTGACTGCAGGACAAGAATACTTAAATTAGAATAGATAACTCGCAAGTCAAACATGATCACCCCTAAAAATTTATCTGCAAACAAATACCAGGGGAGGAAAAACAAAGCCAAACATGATCACACCAATTCTGTTTTTCTCATTGAACAAGATAAAAGATAAAAATTCTATAAGCAAAATCTTACTTCAAGGACTTGCTGCTCAACACTTCTATCATCGTCAGTAGCACGTCCTCCAACAAATGTAAGATACTGCATGATTAGTTTGGTTGTCTCAGTTTTTCCAGCTCCACTTTCACCGCTGACAAGTATTGACTGACTTCGACTGTCGTCAATCATTGCTCTGGGTTATAAAGCACAACTAGAGTTAATCGATTAGCATGACTGATAGTAAGATTTAAAAATATCAGAAACATTAGAGAAAAAAGAGTGGACCACCTGTATGCAACATCAGAAACTGCAAAAACATGAGGACTGAGCTCACCGAATGGTGCTCCCTTGTACTGCTCCATCATGTGCCCATTGTAGAGATGTGGAAGCTTTTTAAATGGATTTACAGCAATCAGAATGCTTCCAGTGTATGTCTGAAAAAGAAGTCGAACGTATTTGTAAGAAGATATTGCAGTCATGAATGATTTACTAATGGAACTATGTAAAAAGCTGACAGTTATGAGTGGCAAAAAGAATGAGACTGGAATTATTACCACCAATAGTTCCAACTAAATATTATCATCTCAATAGGGACATAAATAAATTAGACACCAAGCTGCCACCAAAAGTTTTACAAAGGGGCAAGCCAGCATTTACAAGGGAATCTAGTTGAGTACAAAACTGTCTAAGACAAAATACTTTCACCTACTTAATACGGAACAGAAGCTCTCCACAACCTTAGAAGGAATATTGAACCTATATATAATTCACAATCACAGGGCAGTCACTAACAAAAAATTGTAACGAATACACAAAGTTGTTTATCCCGCTCCCTCCAATAATATTGTTTATATTGAAAAAAAAAGCAATAGTAAGGGTTAGATCACAAGATGTTTAAAGTGCAACTGGATACCAAATAAGCAATTTTTGCAAGTAAATGCCTGTAATGATATATGCATTTTGTCACAATAAATTTATTAACTTGGATATTTATCTTTTTCGGCTAACTAATATATCAGATCACAAGTATAAGTCACATCTAGAGGCATCCATCACAAAGACGCACAAAAATTACAGCAAGTGGGGGACCCTGAATCCACTTCATATGGAAACATATCTTACACCACAAAGTAATACAGAAGAAACTTCAAAAGCAACAATAACTCGTTCTAGAGGAAAGCTCCTGCCACTGAGTACACTAATACCGTGACGAAAATGAGTAAACATCCATATGGAATGAAATCCGACTCAAAAAAGTACCCACGGAAGTATAAAAACTAAAATTCAAACTCCAAATTTACTAACGAAGACATCTCCGTAAACAATACCAAAAAAAAGAAGAGTAAAAAGAACTCACATATATATCATTCAGAGCGTATCTCCTCTGTAGATTATAAAGCACACCAGCTTCGTGCAAGTATGTCAGTTTGGTCATATCATCCACTCCATTATGCTCTTCATCGTCGGGATCCCTCCGAAATAGCTTTTCCGGGGAAACAATAACCTAAAACCCCCCAAAAAAACGCACAACAGCAAAGAATTAGCATGAATAAAGCGCGAAGAAGAAGTAGAAGAAGAGGAAACAGAACTAATTCAGCAGAAATAACGGTTAATCACACCTTCTTCCCAGTAGAAGTTTCTACATGGAGCTTGTTATCAGAAGAATCGAGCACATCAGCAGCAATCCAAGCCAAATCCTTATCTTCGACCCAAACCTTGTCCCCCTTGCGCAGATTCAATTCCATTGGAAGACAATTTCTCATGAACTCGTGAAGAGCTCGACGAGAAAACCCTAGAGAATTAGATTGGGGGAAGCAAGAGTCATAGAGAGAGAAAGAGCGTCCGTGAGGTTGCGCCAGAGAATTTTTCAAATTTCAAATGAACAAGAATTGAGAAAACCCTAAGGAGATAGAGAGAGAAGGGACGGAATTTTACTACTGTAGAGTCTTTTTTTTTTTAATGGTTCAAAGTTACTTAAACCGCTTACCCAAAAAAGTTCCCTAAAGTAATTCAACGAAAATTACTTCCCGCCCTCTTGGATTTCCCTTAAAACAAAAACAAAAGAAGAAGACTCCAAAACAAAAACAGAGAATTTTTTGGAAAACAATTCTTCAAATTCCGGAGTAAAATTCCAAGTTTATTATCTTTGATTGGTATAGTTTATAGGTTTTAATCCAAGAGGAAATAAAATTGATTTCAACAATTAGCAATTTATAGTGTTACTAGTGTTATGACCCGTGCCCTGCACGGGTAAATTTACTGACTTGGTTACCTACTTTTTTTTGTCATAAAAAGATTGTTGTTTATTCACAAAAACTATTCATTAATCAATTGAAGATTGAGATGGTAGATTGTATGCCTGTTCAAATTTCTTCACTATTCTTTCATGTACAGATGTACTTGTCTAAATAACATGCTTTTTCCAAGATTTGATTAGTTTTTTCTGATAAAGCCTAATAAAGCAGGCTTAGAATCTATTGAACTAAACTACGAATGCGATGATTAAAAGAGAAGCATGCCAACCATGAATTCCACGTACCTATATAGATAAAGAGAAGCTTTGTTGATTTTCTCATAGAATGCCTCTTCAATATCACAACATTGAACTTGCTTTGAGTTCTCCTTACCAGAAAACAGTAAAGCTGCAAATTATATAAACAAATCTTATATTCAATAAGATTCAGTGATTCACCCAATTTAAAACCTATTCAAGTGAGAAAAAAAACAAAGGACAGAGATCGTTGCTGAATTTGTAACCTTGACATTAAGCTTAGGGTAGACATCATCTGACTTTGGAGATCTTCTCTTGGTCTTCTTGCTCTTGCCTCTAGCTATCAGATCAATACCTTGCAAACACAAGCATTCAATCTCAAAATCAACCTTGGAAGCAAGGTTCAACCTCAAAGAAAACTAAGAGAGAAGAATCATTCACACTCTAATCTGAGGCTTAATTGTCACAAGAAAAGACCAATTCACATTCCAAATCTACTTTACAACTACGCAAATGACATGAACCATCCAAAATCCCTTGTAACTTCAATATCAAACTAAAAAACAGGAAAAACTTGTACATGAAATGAAGATTGGAAGACAGAGGAAGCGAGAAGTACCATTGTCGTCCGGTGTTGTAACCGCTAACCTTGTAAATTGAAAGATTGTTTAATAGACAACACTTCAACAACAGACTATATCATTCTGCAGAATTATGATGAACCTCATAAAGAATACTTTGATAACAGACTAAATAAAATTTGAAGTTATGAATCCATCTGTTTGATATAATTCAAGTTCTTTATCGAACTTATTCCAGTTGTTAAACTATAAACTGAAAATTTGTTGAGACATGTGATTGAATGATTAAATAATGATGAATAACAAAAAACACACAATTGGGAAATAAGAAATCATAGTTTGTAAATTGCAAAAAGAAGAGACATGTGATTTATGAAACCCTAAAATCAGAATATGAAAGAACTTCAATTTTTTACCCGATAAAAGTTGGAGGAAATCGGAATCAGAAAAGGATGACATTTGGAAGCTTTTTTTGGGTGAAATCATGTTATCACATGTCTGCTTTTGGAAAACAAAAAGTTCTGAAACAGCTGTTACATGTGAGTCGACTTCAAGTTCATGAAATCATGTTTTCTTTTGGTCTACTTCTATACCAAACAAAAACAGAGAATTATTTTGGAAAACAATTCTTCAAATTCCGGAGTAAAATTCCAAGTTTATTATCTTTGATTGGTATAGTTTATAGGTTTTAATCCAAGAGGAAATAAAATTGATTTCAACAATTAGCAATTTATAGTGTTATTAGTAAAACAAACTAATAAACTTACTGACGCTAAAACTTGTTATTTTTAGCAATTTTGATTCTATAACACCTTTAACCCAAAAAAAAAAAAAAATGGTTCTATAACACTCAGAAGTCAGAAGAATTATAACATGTTCGACTTTTGTTTATTTTTCTTGCTTTCCATACAATTAAAAACATTAATAATTAGTCGAATTTAACATGAACCGATAAACTCTAAGTATTGTTTCTTTTAATTGCGGTTCTGGTAAAATTATCAGTCGTGTTCACGCTTTGCCTTATAAGAACATGATCATGAACGCATATCAAGTCATTCCTTATTGATCGCTAACATCCTATACTATTATTTGGGGAGTACAATTTATGGATTACCCTTAATTAACATTCTCCTTTGTAAGAATTTACTTAATAATGCCGTTAGAAATAAAATTTTATAGAGTAAATTAATTCAACTCATTAAGGTTAAACAAGTCAAATACTATTTTATGCAATTTAATTAATTTAATTTAATTATAAAAACGAAAATCTATTATTAATTTCTTTAAAAAGAATGACCAATCAAAATGAACATATAAGATTTGATATCTAACTTACCATATTAATTTGTTATTAATCATTATACTTCACCTCTCATCTTTATATGATTCTATTTCTATAAATAAATAAATCATTATATCATCTATATAATAAAACAAAAAGTAATTTTTTTTCCGCATATACCAAAATTTGAATTTTTAAAAACGAATATAAATTATTCAATGTATGAAAGAACAAATTTAACGGGTCAAAAATTCATATTTGAGTAATATATTCCTTTTTTTTAATATCATCAATACTTAATAGATCAAAAATTTATGAAGTATAAATACTCTAATTTGATTTTTTGAAACAAATATTTATAATAGGCGGCGGGTTGAATATAATATATTATATGATGAAATGAGTTATGATCCTTATAACTATTTGAATATTTATATTTAATTTCGTATAATTTTTTTAAAATTCATAATTTTACATAATACAATAATTTTTTTTAAAGATTTTAATTTGGAACATTTTAAAATAGTTTAATTTAATATATTAAAGAATATCATAAATATTTAATAGATTAAAAAGATAAAAAAAATTATAAATACAATAATTTGTTTTTCTAAAAAGATATGTTTAAAATATTTATAGTAGGCGGCGGGTTAAATGTAATGTATTATATGGTAGAAAATTATGATCCTTATAACAGACGGCATTTTAAGATTTTATGATGAGATGAGTTAAATAAAGTTTGACACTTCTAAATATTTGAAAATTTGATTCTGCAAGCAATTTTGAAAATAATAAATAATAGATTGTACCGCAATATTTTCATACGGATTGTAAAATGAAAATATAGACTCCACACACAGATTGAATTTGGTATTTCTATATACCAAATATATGTTCATAACATATTTGATTATGTGAATAATTGGTAAATTCCGTAATTAGCTCAAACAAATATTTATTTCAACAACCAATGAATCAGAATTTGAAAAAATAATTTCCTAAATTAATTCAAAATAATAGCTAATTTTCTTAAGTAATTCAAAATAATCTACGTTTTAGATGCGATTCATTTATGATATTTTGATTTTTGATCTAACTAAATTATATGCACTCTCATTTTGTGGTTGTTAACATAAATTAACTCATTGTTCAAACAATATTAATTTTTTTTTAATAATCTTATTTTCCGTTTTCATATCTTAAAAAAAAATATCCATAATTGAATACTATAGAAAAATGAAAATATATTCATTCTAATATTATACATAGGAACTGACAAAAAAATATTATTTTTTGCACTTACTATTATAATATATCACAACTTTATTCTAAAACATAAAATTTATAAATTTTGTAATAAATGAAATTCAACCCGTACTGTAGTACGGGTGATGATCTAGTACATATTTATGACTCGTGATGTTTACGTCAACAACATGTATTAAAGAGGTTTGAACTCTAATGGTAGCATAAACATAAACTTCTATGTTACGTGTTTTTGTCGATTTATCAAACGTGAGAATCACATTTTGCCTTATTATAAGTAAATCAAGTGATTACGTAGAGTTAACAACACTAGCTGGTGAGAACTAGCTACAATTTGACTGTGATATTGCATTCACATCAAAGCAAGAGGATATATTAGGGTTGTAGTTTTCAATCCTAGCTACAAATATAAATCAAACCTTCCAAGGTTTGTGTGCTTTTTTAAAATTGCATGAAGTGAAGTTGAACTTATAAGTTAGTAAGATGAAACTTGTAAATTTACTGATGAAGAGATTTGAAGTAACAAAAAAAAAAAAAGGGTTTGAAATTGGTAGGTACAAAGTCGTATGTCAATTATTAGATTCTGCCTAAACACTACAGTACAGTCTAAATCTAGAGTTTTTCTTGCCATAATATTTCTGTCTTTCTTGGACTAGATGTCTGGATATATTAATCTGTGCATTTCCCCAATTAATTTTTGTTCCAATCTCAGGTTGATTTCGACTTATCTTACCAAAAGTTTATAACTCCTGCATAGGACGTATACTATTTCAATTTTTTTATTTTTAATTCCTCTTCTTTTAGTCTGAAGTACATTTTTTTTATAAAGTTTTAACTACTATTGGGCAATCTTCAACAATTTGTTTTCCTTATGTTTTGAAATTTGATTACTCTTTTATGATTTTTAGTAGTTATTGAAAGAGTATGTGGTGTTGTCTCGTCGGTCTATGGACTAAGAGCTCTATTACGAGAAATTTGAAGGTGATCTCTGCATATTTTAAGAAACAAGTATTGTTACAAGTTACAACGAATTCCTCACGATCAAGAATTGCCTTCAAGTCTCATTTAGTATTTTAGCTCTGTTTGAGCTTTGAACCAACTTCACACTTGGACTATTTTATTAGAAGACACAAACTTCCCCATTATCTCATTTGTTTAGTTAATTCTTACATTTTATAAGAAAAAAATAACTGCAGGAGATATCAGAAATGAGAAAACATTGCAATTGAACCGATCGTCTCTTCAGAGTTCAGACTAGTACTAAGTACTATCCCACAAACAGTTTATGATGGAAACTTAGCATGGATTGTGAGTCGATGTGGATCAATGCTTTAAATGTAAATTGATAAGGGAAATAGAAGAACTACATATAACAGTAGCAACATTATCATGAACCACATACTCAAAAAAGTACTAATGTTGTTTAGGTTTGTGTCATCACACAAGCAGACGAAGAAGGCCACAGTACAAGCTCCAGAGGCCTATATGCACAACTGAAACTAATGACTTGGACCCCTTTACATCCCAAACACCACACAACACAACACATTATTTCTATAATCTGCAGAAAAAGTTGTATATAATCAAACATTTGGGGCAAAACCCTAATCTTGCAAGAGATTCGGACTGCTGAAGACGCGTTTCAAACTAGGGCACACTGTTCGGAACTTTGTCATGCTCACCGAGGATATCTGTTAATGACAAAGACAAGGTTTTAATTGTTACACCAAAATGGATTAGTTGCTAAAATTTGACTATCGAAGTAAACACTCGTTTATTGTTAGTACTTAGTACCTTTGGACAGAAACGGAGATCCAATGTCTCGAGTGAGCTGCATCCTGATATAGCCGCTTCAACTCCTGCTTCATCCATGTTACAAGACTACCAAAGACAAAAGTACCAAAGTGTGTTTAGTGATAACATTTGTACAAGTAATTCTGTTTAAGAGCAGATATCCAACTTTAGAACATATAAACCCATATACTGAGCTTATATCTAACTAGCTTCATAAAACCCAGACAATTACAATATAAATTGTGCCAGTTATGGGGCAAAAACATACCTGAAGAAAGAGACTAGCCAATCTTGGACAGCCAAGCTTCAATACTTCCAGAGAGCAACAGTTGCTAGACAATGCATTTTGATTCGAAATGGAATTAGCAATTGGAGTAACCACTCATTTCATGGAAGATAAAGAATATAAGTTATATAGCAAATGCAAAAGCTCAAACCTTAAATTAAGTAAAACCAGGTTGGAACAGGAGAGATCAACCTCCTTCAGATTGACCGATAACGAAAGGTTCAGTGTTGATAAATGGTAAAAGCGAGCTGCAGGTGGTATCAACACTTTTCTAATATTGGGGCAACCCACACAGTTTAGGTTTTGCAGTAAACGATTGGCTGTTTCAGCTGGTTCCTGGGTAGTCTCACTAGAACTATAGACCCCAAAGTAATCAAATAGATGTACACTGGTTGAACCCCAATCGAGGTCATGCATGTTTACACAACCGTTCAAGCTCAAATGGGTCAAGTGTGTGCAGCACGCAAGTAGATCATCTATCGCAGTCTGACAGAGAGTTCCATATGACAGGTCCAACTCCTCAAGTGCCGGTAAAGCACCTTCTTTGTATAGAGGCTCCAATGATGAGTCAGTAAGATATTTACAGGCTTGTAATTTGAGTACCTAAACAATAAAAGTCTCAAAGTAAGCCCAAAAGCAATATGAATCATGAATAGCTGATATACAAAGAATGCACACAACATAACTCAAGAAGTTTCCATTGACAAGATAACGTATATGCTCTACTGCTGACGAAAAGGGAAACATCCAGCATCATACAAGTCGTAATGCCTTAATTACCTTCAGTTGAATACAAGACTTGAAGACGGGCTCCAAATTCATCAAGAAAGTGTACGATAAATCAAGAACAGTCAAATTTGGGAGCCCGTTCAAGGAAGACAAGCCATCGGAGCCAATGGAAGGGCATGACATTAGCACCAGTGACTCAATGAGTGGGCAAGAAGCAGTGGTTGCAGACAGACAGTCATCCCTCAGTTGACTGGAATGGGGGAAAATGATTAGCAGCATGATAAAATCAGTCACATATATAGAGAATAAAAAAAATCAAAAAAAAATATTACCTGCAGAAAGACGCATCTAAAGATGTTAATAGAGGACAAAAAATGGATGCTTCAGACAGTACACCACAACCTTTCAATTCAAGGGACACCATATAAGGTGCTTCAATATTGAGCACACTCAATTTTGGGCATATTCCTAAATTTAGAGACCGCAGAGCGACCTATTCACAACCAGAAGGAAGAAGCAAGAAATCCATCAGTTAAGATATTTTGGTTATTTGATATGAGAAAAGTAACACTCACAGGTTGGAAGAATGCAGTTTCAAGATGATCACATCCATCCAAACAGATCTGCTCTATGCGAGGGCACTTCAACTCAAGAGAAGTAACAGCACGACAGCCAACAAGGGAAAGACTTGCTAGCGATGAATTGCAGAACCGCACTGCTGTTAAACTCTACAAGATGATAAAAAAATTATAATCAATTAACCAAACAGCGAAATATCAACACCGCCGGCTTTCATTTCAATAATTGTTTCACTATAAATTTCATTCGGTTATCCTCTGCAGCCGATAGCTGTAGGCAAAAAAATGGAAGAAACTGTGTCACACCTCACAGTTGTCAAGAATCAATGACTTCAGCATTGGGCATCCACCATCATCACTAAATATTTTGCAAACACTGTTAGACAATGATTCACAATCAGAGAGATCCACTTCTTGCAAGGAATGACATTGTAGAACTAATGTCGTCAAATTCTCCTGTTTCTGCAGAGCTAATCGCTGCAATCAAAACAATGAATTATCAGATCAAAATTTTCAGCCAAATGGAAGTGCAATAACCAAACCATCATAACAAAGTGCATACTCGAAGGGAGTTGGAAGTGATTGTGATACGGCGAAGCGCCGGACAGTTTGAAACAGTGATCGATGAAAGCATGGTGCTTTGCAAGTTCAGTTCTGTGAATCTGTTAATCACAGCCGAAAGAAGATAACTGAGTGAAATAATAAGAAAGGTATGAATACTCATCACAATATCTGCAGGTTGAAAGGAAACCAAAGATGAGGACTATACTTGCGACAATGGACTAGGCTTATACTCTGCAAACGCGAGAGATGCAGAGATACAGATGTCAACAGATTGCAATTATCAAGCTCCAAAACCTGCAATAGAATATATGTGGTTAACTCAACTGGAAACAGTGGTCTCTAGGTGAAGGTTGTAGAACAATATACATGTGTGGGGAAAAAGAAAAAGCAATCACAAACCTCTAGTGCAGGGCTATTAGCAATCCAAGTCATAGACGCGGATGTTATACCCTCACAGCTATGAAGCTTGAGAACTGTCAACATGGGAAGATGTACTGACTGCAAAGAGGAAAGGGCACACAAGTCAGAAATACGAGAATGAGACAGCACAAGAAAGGAGAGGGGGTGGAGAACGTTCGATAACAGGACAAACCTCAAGAGATATATTGGGGCAGTATGAAGCATTAAGAATATGGAGATTAGCACAAGCCTGGGCTATTTCACGCAAAGTTTCATCACTGACACAGGAACAGTTAGAAACGTCTAGCGACTCTAATTGAGGACACGAAGTGGCTGCTGAACGGATAGCAGCATCCAAGAGCTTATGGCACGAGGCTATATCAAGAAGTTGGAGGAGTGGACAGTTAAGCATCGCCTGTGACATGTTGCTTCTTTTTAATGATAGAGACCTGAGCTGCGGACACCTAAAAGATATAAAAAAATAAAATAATTTAGAATGAAATACACAAAAATGAATGAGAATGAAAATGATTTATTGAAAATAACTTCACCTGATAGACAAACGCATAACACGACATTTTGTAATTTTAAGTTCGCGTAGCCTATCATGACTCAGGTGTATTTCCTGAGCACCATTTCCCAGAATAGCGTCACTTACAGTCACACTCCTTAACATATTACACTCCCCCAATGCCTGGAAAAAGCTTTCACTGATATGACCCTTTCCTATAGTTAAGGCCTCAAGATTCCTGAAACAGATCAAAAGCATTATGATTGATATTTATTAATTTAATATATGAAAACGATATCCGAGGCTAAACAAGAGAGATACCTCAGAGTGGTAGCGGCTTTCATAGCCAGAGCGTTAACAGCAGGAGCGCCATAAACATTCACTTCAGTAGCATTTGGATAGCGACTACACATGTTTTCAACTGCACATAAAGTAACGGGAGGTTATATTTTATCCCAAGTATATTAATGTCTTCCGAATAAATACGAGTTTGAGTAACATAGGGTCTTGGAATAAATAAAATACAAATCAGAAGTATCTTTGGTAGCTAAGATTTGCTTTTGAAGGCCAATCTCGTCATTAAAAATGCAGAATGAATGCCCCCAATGTTCAATTTCTATTGCACTCACTGAATGGCAAACAAATGTACAAGACTCAATAAACCCGTTGTCAATCTCAAATTCTTTTAAGGTTTCTACAACCAGCAGCTAATATGTTTTACAAGCAGTTCTATAAAAGACACCTAGTTTGTTTTCCTCAAACGGCAAATAACATAAAAGACAGCTTTAATGTATGTAATGAAAAACAACTTACATTGTTCCATAGAAATCCTTATATTTTCAAAGTTCAAGACCTTCCAGAAATCCTCATGAGCACTAGCTACTCTCCACTGCCGACATACCATAGCAGAGCGACAGAGGTCGACATGATTCAAGAACGAGAATACCTGAAAGAAGAAAAAATTTAAAAACAAAGAAAAGGATACCTACATATTTATCTTAAAATGCAAGAAAAAAAAATGGATACCATATGTAAGAGGTCATCAGTCAAATCAATATGAACTTCAAAATCTTCTGCGTCTGAAGAACCATTATCATCTCCATCATCTTTTTTCCCATCTTTCCGACTATAATTCAAGATGAAATTCTGGCAGAACATATCAGTATCCGACCGGGAAGAAGAAGCAATGCCAAAACTAACATTTCTCTCCACCGACGAAACAGAATTTCCAGCATCTGAAGATACCCCGGAAACCGACCGGCACTCACTGCAATTAAACTTCAGTGTCAGAAATACATGAAAACGAATAGACAAATAAATGACAGATAAAGGATTGATGTCAACTAAAATATCACTGCTGATGACGCTGATAAGCCTCAAAACTAAAAAAAATCCAAGAAATCGATTCTACACTAAAGTAAAACCGAACAAATCAAGATAAAAACAGAGGCAGCTGCAAACTCTACAAGGATGTTGGAACAGAGTTAGAGAGCTCACGCAAGCCCAGAGTAGACTTTGGCACGCTTGTGATACGAATCATGATCAGCTTCCTCCATCGTACTATCCTCCTCAGCTGCTGCCACCGCATTGCTACTCTCACCCTGAACCAACTGCTGCAAGCGAATCTCAGAGGTCCATAAACGCTCCAATTCAGCCCCTGCTGCTTCACCTTCCTCCGCACACAGCCTGAGCCTCCAACGTGGGACTCTTGGTGCCCTCTCGTTTTCACCGAAATTTACAAAATCACCATCGCCGTTATTGTTCTCCATGGCCGTTGCTAAAGACTGTTTATTCACTCTGCAGCCGTTTTCGTCTTCCTCGTCTTCGTCGGTGAAGCAAGAAAAACACCAAATCCTCATGCAACCCCCAAGCCCACCTCCCCAAAAACGAAATCTCGGGTCTCGATCTACCACATTTATTGAAAACAAAAACCAGAATTGGGGAAAAGTAACGGAATTTGGAAAGCCCAGATAGAATTCAGAGAGAACAGAACTGAATCTCTAATTTTGGATTAAAAAGGCGAGAAGGAGAAGATCAAACGCCAATCTGATTTAAGATTAGGGTTTGAGAGAAACGAAAAGGTAGAATCGGATCAGATCTTGAGAGGAGAGAGTGGAGGCATATTGTGTGGTTTCTTTGGGACAAAAAGTGGTCGATGAAATAATCCGGCGATTCGGAAGAAGCAAAAAAAAAAACGGCGAAAATGGAAAGGGAATGACAAAAAAAATTTAAGACAAAACTAATCGGGAAACACAAGCTCTCTCTCTCCTTTGGAAGTCTTTGGTTCTTGCTTCACCGTGTTTTGTTCAGAAAGGACGTTATAAAAACGGTGTCGTTTGACAATAAGTACTACTATGTGTAAAGTAGATAGATAGATACTCTGAACTCTGAATACTAGGATATAACAATGTTTTAGTTCGTACGATAAAAAATATGGTTTAGACACAACAACGGTTTATGTTTGGGTCAAAGTTTAATTGTGTCACGTGAGCAGGGACATAAGCTGACGACCGCAAAAACGAAGACCGTCAGGCGTCAGTGGGTAGATCGAGCCACAATTGTAGTATCATTGTATAAGAGAATACGGACAAAATTTTGTCGAGTCTTGTATTAAAAATTTTAAGTTTGGACTTGGAGATCACTAATCAAAATTCTTCTCCGAGTGAAAAAAGACATCACTTCTGCCATTTTATCTGCTTCAATTTCCAACGAAACCCACATTAAAATTGGGCTTGTTTCTCTTTATGGCCCAATGGCTATTTCTTTGATTTTCTTTTTGGTAACGCATTAATCAAAATATTTGTTCAAAAAAAAACGCATTAATCAAAATATATACAAAATCATCAAAATTAGAAAAATGATGATTAACGTTAGACATTAGATCATTATAAATCAAATACTAGTCCCCGGTCTCCCTTAGATCAAGTGATATTAACATGCATTAAAACTAGGATGTGTACACGACCTTGTTTATTGGATACCACTTTTGTTCAGTTCCGGGTGAAATTCGGGTGTGTGGTGCAAAATGGCATGGACCTGTATAATCTGCAGAAATCTACTAAAATCTTTAGGACTTGCTCCAACATCAATAAAGCAAGAGAAGAACTAAACAAGCAAATTGCGAAATGTTTATCGGGTCAGCCCATTTGAGGCCCAATCTTTAAGCAACACTGCGTGCGAAAATGTTGTGTAGTATAATTAAGATTGATATGACGGTGGATGTGTGAAACAGCTGCCTCCGGTACGTGTGCTAGTGCCGGATACGACCGAAGCTGAGAATATAATTGAATGTGTGGACTGGACGGTTGAGTTATAATTAAGAGATATCATAAATATTAGTATTGAAATATCAACGATGAAGGAACGCAAATGTTGGGTGGGATAATGAAGTTAAGTCCCAATTAAAGATTAGACTAACTGTTTAGAAGTGGACAGAGAGGTGGTTGGAATTTAATACATCTCCTTCTTTTATAGGTTCCACTGACTCAAGAAGAAACTTCGATATCATCAAAAACCACAAACTTTCTTTTCTTTTTCTAATTATTTTATTTAATTTTCCTACAAACTTAAGGTAATTTAGAAGAAAAAAGAAAAATGTCATGTTTGAAGTATTTCTTGATCTTCTTGATGTTGGGTCTGTGTGTCTCATCGGAGGAGAATCTGCAGTACGAATACTTGAAAGTTCCGGCAAGCGAGTTTGTGAGCTCCATCAACACAATTGTGGTAGTGATAAGACAAGTGAGTTCGATTTTGTCTCAGTTCGCGGATTTTAGCGGAGATCGCCGACTGCAGAATGCAGTTTCCGATTGCCTTGATCTGCTTGACTTTTCTTCAGAGGAGCTGAGTTGGTCTGCTTCTGCTTCTGAGAATCCAAAAGGTACGTACCTTAAACTCTAGTTTAATTTACCACATCCTTTTAGTGTTGGAAACTTTGAATGCATTTTTTTTTTAACTCCAACACGGTCAAAATTATTGTTATGAGATTAAAAACTGTTAGCTAAGCCTAAATCAATACATATTTGCTTAAGTGACATTTGAAAAATGATATACAAATTGGAGTAGTCGACAAATTACCAAAAAAAAACAAAAAACAAACCGGATAATAGATATGCTTTAATTTTGCCGGTTTATGGAAAGTATGATAAAATTGACGTCTGTGAATCTCTCTGATACTGGTTGCTATGTTTAGAAAGAGTGCGATTACTTGGTATAACTATAACTTGTTGCCTTTTTCATTCCTAGTTTCCTACCAATTAAAAGTGAAAGATTTTTAAACTCAGTTGTGTAGACAATTGAAATTGTTCTTTATTCTTTTTTTTTTTGGTTCAAAAAACCAAGACGATTGAAATTATTCAAACGCCATGATTTTGATTAAATAACAAAAGGAAGTTTTGGTGCAAATTAACAGTTAAGCGACACATTAATCAGTCCAGATATGTTAGGTTAATTTCTTTATAAAATGCTTGTTCAATTTCTTTATGAGAGTTATATATACAAATCAGAATAATATAAAACAATTATACAAAATGAAATGTAAAAACTAAAACATTAATCTGCGTCTAAACGGTATATACGTTAGGAAACACCTAAATAACTGATCAGCGCTTAACAATCTTTTTCACATTACACATCAGATATAAAAGAATTGTAGGTGAGGGAGGAAACCAATGTGACGTATAAGATCGTAATGGAATTTCAGTCTTTTAGATTATAAATTAATGTTTTGTACATAAAACAGCAATTACTACATACTCTTGTAAAACATGATAGACAATACACCTGTACAACTCTACTGGTTCAGTGGTTTGGCATTTATCTAGTTAGATTCTCCACGACTCCAATAAAAGATAATGTACCATAGAATAAATGATCGTTCATGGATCATGGTGTTTAATGGTAGTAATAAAGTAAGACAAGTTTATTTACAAATAGAAAAAGAGATTTATTTTGCACTTGCTGCATTAAATTTGAAAGCCGGCACGGAATTGATTGCGATACGGTTAGTAGGTGCATGGTTCTTTGACCAATCCTATTAGTATAATACTACTACTATTCAACAAATACAATTTTGCATCATATCACAAAAATATTGAATTTCTACGTGTATTTTCTCAATTTTATCCTCCTATTTTGTTATTTCAGCTTAGACAAAAGTGAAACAAAAGGGCTTAAACAAAAATCTTTCTCGTAATTGTACATATCAGTCAGTTAATAGATACTAGACAAAATTTCTCGTAATTTTTAAGTTAATTTTAGTTTTAAATGTTGATGTCAAAGTGATGATGATGTTACATCAACGTTGTGCATTCTCGTTGATGAAATGAAAGCAAATCCTATAATCATTATAGTAAATAGCATGTGCGTAGTAGGGACACAGAACGTGGATTTAGATTTGTAATAAATGTAAGTGTGAATATATGAAAATGATAGTGTTGAAAGATAAGAATAAAATCACGAGTATCATCAAGTGATTAATATAAGAGAATGGGTGTGATGATTTTGAGTGGGACCACTGTACCAGGTAAGGGCAACGGAACAGGGGACGTGGGATCGGACACAAGGACATGGTTAAGTGCTGCTCTCTCCAACCAAGACACTTGTATGGAAGGCTTCCAGGGTACCTCTGGTCTCGTCAAATCCCTTGTCGCTGGTAAATTAATAACTTGTTATTGTAATCTTACAAAATCTTGGTTCTGTTTATCCAATAGAAGAATTTATTTACGTTTGTTGGTAATCATGCAATTTCGTTAGGGTTTCACGTTATAAATTTTGGTTCAAGTCGGTTTGATTAATTATTTTTTTAACGTTAACAATAATTTATCATTTCAGGCAGCCTTGATCAACTATATTCTATGCTTAGGGAATTGTTACCACTTGTGCAACCCGAGCAGAAACCCAAGCCAATTTCTAGACCTGGCCCTATTGCTAAAGGACCAAGGGCCCCACCTGGCCGCAAACTTAGAGACACCGACGACCACGAAAGCCTTCAATTCCCAGACTGGGTTAGATCGGAAGATCGCAAGCTATTAGAGACAAACAGTAGGGGTTACGACGTTTGTGTAGCATTGGATGGGACATGCAACTTCACAAAGATAATGGACGCCATTAAGGAAGCTCCTGATTATAGCTCCACACGTTTCGTTATATACATTAAAAAAGGTTTATATTTGGAAAATGTTGAGATCAAGAAGAAGAAATGGAACATTGTAATGATAGGTGATGGTATTGACGTGACTGTTATTTCCGGTAACCGCAGTTTCATCGACGGGTGGACCACTTTCCGATCAGCTACATTTGGTAATAACATTATTGTTGCTGCTTATTCATATTTTTTTATTCTTAATTCTAATGGATTTGAAACAATATTGTGACACAAACATTTCAGCGGTAAGCGGAAGAGGATTCCTAGCAAGAGATATAACGTTCCAGAACACAGCGGGGCCAGAGAAGCATCAGGCGGTAGCATTGAGATCAGACTCTGACCTCTCTGTGTTCTACAGATGTGCGATGAGGGGTTATCAAGATACACTCTACACACATACCATGCGTCAGTTCTACCGTGAGTGCACTATCACGGGAACAGTAGATTTTATATTTGGGGATGGGACTGTTGTGTTTCAAAATTGTCAAATTTTGGCTAAAAGAGGACTCCCTAACCAAAAGAACACCATCACTGCACAAGGCCGGAAAGATGTCAACCAACCCTCAGGTAATTAACAAAAACATAAATAGGGTTTCAAGGTTGTTTTAGTATGATAGTTTCTTGAAAGTGAAGTAATTGTGCTCATGTTTCATAAATTAAAGCAGAATTGTCTCCCCAACGAATGTATGCATATATATTATATTAGCATAAGGCAGCTTAGATAGTAGAAATTTACAATCAATCTATGCATGAACCATAATATAACGATTCTAACTTGGACCTTTTTAAATTTTGCTCACCTTCAGGATTCTCAATTCAATTTAGCAATATCTCGGCGGACGCAGATTTGGTCCCATACCTAAACACGACACGGACGTATCTAGGAAGGCCATGGAAGCTATATTCAAGAACAGTTTTCATTAGAAACAACATGAGCGACGTTGTGAGACCCGAAGGATGGCTCGAGTGGAACGCTGACTTTGCGTTGGACACACTCTTCTACGGAGAGTTCATGAACTACGGGCCTGGTTCAGGACTCAGCAGCCGAGTCAAATGGCCTGGTTACCACGTCTTTAACAACTCGGAGCAGGCTAACAACTTCACCGTTTCTCAGTTCATTAAAGGAAATCTTTGGCTGCCTTCTACGGGGGTAACGTTCAGTGATGGCTTGAATATCTAAAATGGCTCAGTGTTTCTATTGTGAATGTTCCTGTTTTTTGTTCCTTTTCATTTTGTTTTGTGTTTTCTTGTAATGTTCTTCTAAGTTGGTGTATTGGTATTTCACGGTTTTGGAAAAAGATTGATAAAAGGGGACAGTTATGGGGAGATTAAGTCGATCGGCTGAAGTTGAACAGATCATATTACCGATAAGGGTTAATAGATTTTGTATGTTATTAAAAAAGAACAAAATTAATATCTTACGATCCATGTTTTTCGTTATAATTGATTAAGAATATCATTCATTACGAAACGCCTTAAAACTTGTTTTAGTGTCAAAAGATTTGAGTAGAAATCAATCTTTCGAACAAAACATTTTAACTTTGCCTCAACTAAGTTTATGTTCTATTATCTTGTACTCCAAGATGCAATTTCATCTTTACCCACATCAATTAAAAAAAAAAAAAAAAGGCACCACCTTACGTGTTTATCAAGCATCATAAAGGCCAAGCTTTACCGGAGACCCCATCTCACGGATCCATTCCCCTTGTAAGAATGGCCCCACCGTATATTTCATCGCCTCTTCCTTGTTTAAAACCCTAAATCCAGGCCATTTAACCCTAGAAACGGTTGCTCCGCTTGGACCATCATTCTTGTATTCCGCATAAGACAATGTGTCGATAGCAAAATCCGTCTCTTGCCATCTCAACCAACCAACAGTATCGATCACATCCTCGATCGTTGATTCCATCACGACGGTTCGAGAATGTGTTTTCCACGGCCGGCCGAGGTAGCTCTTGAACTCTGCCTTTACGGGTTTAAGATCTTCGTTTGGAGCAATTGTACAGTTGTGGATCACAAAGCCTGTCGTCTGAAACTTATCCACTCTTCCTTGAGCCGTCACCGTGTTCTTCTGCCCCGGTAAACCTTTTCTGATAAAGATGTCACAGTTCTGGAATATGGCGGCGGCATCACCGAAGATGAAATCGACTGTTCCTACAATGACACAACTTCTGTAATATTGGCGGTGAGTGTACGCATATAACGTGTCTTGGTAGCCTTCAAATCTACAGTTTTGGAAAACAGAACGGTCGGATTGGACACGGATTGCGACCGCTTGGTGTCCCTCTGGCCCAGCCGTGTTCCTGAACCCCATGGAGTGTGCCATGAATCCTTCTCCTTGTGCCACTATAAGTAAATCAAGCACAAAGAAGGTTATTGCACCTCAAATTCAAGCCTTAATTGTTTCTTAGGAAAACAGGATATACCAAATGTTGCTGTGAGGAAAGTGCGGATTTTCTTTGCGTGGCTTTTGTTGCCCGTCACGATTGTCTTCTGTGATCCATCACCGATCATTGTAACATTAGGTTTCTTCTTGTCAATAATCACAGATTCATCATAAACTCCATGTTTGATATAGATGGTGTACCTACAAAAACGAAATTTTACTAGGCAAAAAGTTTGGTAGTAACTTATGAAACCAAATATGAAGTATTATTATGAGACGGTTAGTACCTTCCTTGGTACTTAGCAGGCATTGCTTTAAGTGCATCTTTAATGGTTGTGAAATTTCCACTACCATCTTTAGCCACTGTAGCATTAGGTTTCAATGCATTCACATCAATAGCTTTTAACATTCGTCTCTCCTTGTTGCTTAACCAAGACGTAATATGATCTGTCTCTTTAGCAGAAGATCTTGCTTCAAGAAGATGTCGCGTTTTAACCTTTGGAACTGAGGTAATATATCCGTCTAAAGATTTTATCATCGCGAGTGAATTACTTGTCAAAACTTGAGAAGAATTGAAATTCTTACGTATCTCCGTTTTGAGTTTCCCTTCTTCAAATCCATCGACACATGTTTCTTGATAAGACATGACTGCGCTTAGCCAACTGTCTAAATCAGGAACTATTTTCGCAAAGTTATTAACCTCTGTGTTGTTGATTCTTTTCATGGAGGTGCCAAGTTCTTCCTTAGCTTCATCCACAAGCAACTTACACTGAGCTATAGCGTCTTTGTCATCTTTGTTCTCTGTTTTCAGGCTCAAAACCTTTTTGAATACTCTGTCTAGATCGTCATTGACAGCTACAATGGCAGACTTTAACAGGCTCCTAGGATCAGATAGAGGAGTATCTGTGTTTGTCCGATTTTTAAGAGTATTCTCGCACGTTGGTTTATAGAGAGTGGAATTGCAAAGTGTTTGGACAATCTTATCGACCTGGCCAGCTTTCACAGTTTGTGCTGCGGATGATGGTGGTTTCTGGCTCGGACTCTCGCTTTTGTTGGGGCTATCTTTACTTTTGTTGTTTGTAGTTTTCCCTTGTTCTTGAGTTTTGTTTTCATATGTAACATAAGCAAAAGCACCTCCAATAATGGCAGCAACAACAACAAGCGCAGAGACAATTCCAAAGATGATTCTCTTCCTGAATTTACGTTTCCTCTCTGCATTTACGCGTTCTTGAATCTTGTCAAAGTCTTGAAAAGCCATTTTTGCTCAAAACGTTTTTCTCTGTCTTTTTACTTTGAGAGAAGAAAATTGAATTTTCCTCTGCCTTAGAAGCAAGCTAAGGCAGAGAGGTTAAAATGGACGATCAATCTTTCTATTTTTTTGCTCGTGCTTATTTATTTTCCTCTGTTTTGATTGATGCATATTGTTTGTCTCATGAGCCAATTTCACACCTTCTAATTTTAGCTTCCTATACGAAATTTAAATTTATGCGTTAAGACTTATAAGTGATAAGGCAAAAGAAATCCCTTACATTTATTCGTTTGTTCAAGTCTCATGTAGGGTTTTTGTTCTAAGAATTATTAAGTATAAATTAGAGAAACACTCTAAAAGTTAGCGTAATCCCCACATGTGATGCATTTGGTTGGGACTTTAAACAAAATTCAAGATGTAATTTAGAACTCAAATCTAATTTAACAACACAGTTATTCAAGGATCCGATCTTTAAACAAATGAATGCTTTCCAGAAATAAAATAAAATGAGCATTTTGACACACTTACGAAGAAGAATGTTGATAAAAACATAAGTAACGAATAACAAACACTAAAAGATAGAAGTAGTGTATGTACAATTGCATCTTGCTTTTATTAATTCTGATGCAAAGGCGATGGAAGAGGCATAGGCCACACCTAAGGCCAAGGGTAATACATAAACACAAATTACCCAAAAGACCATTCCAACCAAAAAGAATAAAAACTATATTTGCTAACTGAATATCGTGTATGTCTCTTGCAGAAAAAGCTTCAGGACTTGTTACCAACAGCTTGAGGATTGTCTCTCTCTTCTTCCTCCTTCACCTCTGCTGAAGAACTGTTGCTTGGCACAACCGTGGCAGGCGACCATTGGTCAGGAACCATCACAAAATAAGCCGTCATTGCTTTCCTGAATCTTTTCTTGTATTGCTGAGGCGATATTACTGTTGGAGTTGAGTTCTTGGGTCCTCCAAGGAGCCCTGAAGTCTTGACCCAAGTCTCCAGATGTTTGTCCCAAGTGTATTGCCTCATGAAATCGATAATTCCTAGAACTAGCTCGTTTCTTTCCTCATCTACCCCGACTAGTAAGGAGTAATCCATTACGTGAATCGACTTCAGCCAAAGAAACAAACCAAGATCTTGCATCAGCATTACTATGTAAAGCTCAAGAACAAGTTCGGTATTTCAAAACGGCTTAAAAGAAGCGTAGCAACTGGAAACTTACAGCAAGAAAGGATGTATCATTCCAGACTGCTCTTTCAAGAAGACGTTTTGCCTTGCTCCCAACAAATATTGGAGATGTCGGCATTGCTTCGACCAGATTCTGGTCCAGCAAAACTGTATTGCTACCACTTGTATCGGGATTGTAACGAGCACGAGTGGAGCCTTTTAGGTCATAAAGTCTAGTGAAGTTCCGCTTGAACAGAAGATTCTCCATCACCAAGACGTCCATTTTGAACTCTTTTCCTCCTTTAAGGTGTTTGGATGAAACCTTTAAAGATATTAGCAAAGAATTATGGGTCTCACTAAATGTCAACAAAAGAGATAACAAGAAAAATTATGGTTTTGAGTCGCACAAAAGCTTTCTCAGTTATCATGTAGTTCAGAGAGATTGTTAGTTAACTATTTTGTTAATCTTTTGTACCTGATAGATTCCCAAGATCTTAGCAAGGCTTGTAGGGCTTTTAGTACTGATGGACTCAGTCAGGTATTTGAAGTAAGCTGGCCCAAATTTGATGAAGGACTCAAGCTCTGTCTTTGTAACTTGCTTGATTATAAAACGGTCATCCAAACTTTTTGCAAAGAAGACGTTGCTCTTTCCACCCTGGGCTCCCCATTTTCTACAACGACCAAGAGATCTAATGAAATCTGTTTCTGAAGGACAGCAAAGCATCCTCAGGGCTTCAAACTCCTTAGCATAATAACACGTTACAGAGTACTTCACTTTCCCAGGAGGACCTTCATCTATAAACGAAACCCTCGCATGCAGATCTTTCAAATACAGTGATGAATGTAGCAGCTGCGAGACTTGTTCATCAGCAGAGCTAAGACTTCTACTCATGTCGACCGACAAATCACTCAAAGAGTTCAATGATAGAAGATTAACAGAATCAAAAAGTGAAAAGGAACCTCCACTATCCAAGCGATCTCTTGACTTATCTGATCCAGACATCTGAGCTTTATATTCTGATGACGTAAGGGCATAAGCTATGATACTAGTAGGTTCGTCATCATAAACTGGTAGTACTAAGTCATTACATCCCAGAGGAAGCAGCAGCCTCGCACCACTTCGCCATTCAAGCTCTCTATATGAAGAAACATAAACAGGCCGGTCTTCAGCCATAATATGCTTGCGAGAATTAAGCGAATAATTCTTGTTGAGTGAATAGTAGAAACTAGGAGAAGGCAACTGAACTTGTGTTGTATGTTCATCATTGGTAGGGCCTCCTTTAAAGTTCAGCTCACTTTCTGAACCCAACAGCCTTAAATCAGGGATCTGAGTTCCATTTGTTGAAGCAGCTTTGTTAGGCGGACGGAAAAGACCATTCTCTGAAGTAGTTTGTTCACCTATCCATGCTGCATCAAGAGTATCAGATAAGTCTGTTGCTTGATACTGTCTCTCGGAGTGTACTGCTTTAACCACCTGCGAAGACTCCACAAAGTTATCTTTACCACCTTCACTAGGGTCGAACTCCATCCTACAATCTGGGGGTATGTCTGGGCCTACATCTTCAGGAATAGCAAATTTGCCACTAGTATCACCAAATGATTTACCTTGGTTAGGACATGTTTCGTACTCTGCATCCTGGAGAAGAGAGTCATTACTACTGGCAACATGGGACGGTATCGACTTTATTTTTTCATCACTGAGCTTCTCTAAGGAGACGTTACGACCCATAACTTTTGAGGAAGAATTCTTCGGAGCTTCAGAATAGTTATTTCTTACCATACTGGCCGCCCCTGCTAGGCATTCATCCCAAGCATATGAATCGAAAAGTATCAGCCTTCGAAGTTTATTTATCAGAAGGATATCAATAGTAGGTTGTCCATCCTTAACCACATTTAACATTTGCTGCAATGATTCCTGAAAACCAGCGACAGCCTTAATCAGTATTTCATACAGAGAAAACTGAAAAATCATCCTACACTGTAGAAAGGACTCCAGGTACAGAGGCTAGGTAAAAGACTCGTTCTTATAAAGGCCAGCAGATTATGAGACAAGCTTCTACAATTATCTATAAGAAAACTTTTTAACCATGTGTCTATATTTTACACACAATTCGTGAGAAGTATGAACGTGGTGGGGGTGTCAGAGTGTCGGTATGTGTTTATGCGTGTGCAGGTGGGTGGGTGGATGGGTGGGTTTTGTCTGTGTGAGTGTAGTGTGAGTGTGAGTGTGAGTGTGACTGTGACTATGACTATGAGTGATGTAATGCGCCAAGTACATGCAACTCTATTTCTTCTTAAGTCCAATGGTGTGTAAGTTGCATGACAGGCTACCTTATATTCCTTTTTACGTTGCTCAAGAAGTCCTGCAAGTTCTTCAAGAGAAAGCTTTATCTTGTTCGGAGTGCTGCCCTTGGAACCTGTACCCATTGTTTTCAGTGAAATTTGACTAAGAGCCTCCTGAACCTCATTAAAAAGGACTTCCGCTTTTTTAATCACCTATAGTATACAGACCATGACAATTAAGTAAAATAAGACTCCTGGCTTTGTTGAATATGTAATAATTTTCGATTAAAAATGTGGGAAACTTGTAACCTCTTTTGATTCCTTTTGGAGCCATTCCTGGTTCTCATAGTTAAACTCAAGTTTTGCTGGTGGCAGAAACACTGAGAAAATATTGATTGAAGCATAGCGGAAGCAAGCCACCATTCTCCCAAAACTGCAGTAAGAAAAATGACAAGGTCACAACCCTCAAACATAGACTGAAACTTGCCGTATAGATGACAATTAGAGAAGTGAACGACCAACACTACTACTTATGCAGAGCCTATCTAGACAGTACATCTGATGTGTATTAAATGCTAAGCTTGATTGCATTACGCAACATGCTACTTGAGAATCAGACATATTGGACAAGGGAAAATCAGTAACGTGTATTAACAGCAAGCGAAACAATCCGCAGCAAAAGTTTTTATTAAGAAGCATCTCTTCATACCCATAGAACCGGAGACAGTCTCTGTGAAGGGAATGACCACAGTTGGCCACACGACTAGCTGCTGCATGGTTAGAAAAGCTCAGTTCCAAAAATTTGCCAAAAGACAGGCCCCACGCAGCATCTGACATTACAATTCTGCGTGTGGCTGGAGGAAAGCCATTGATCCGAGGACATTTCAGGCACCGATGCCACATCCAAATCTTCCCTTCACGTTGCCCAGGTAGCAATTCAGGCAGTTTCTTAACAGATATTGTCAGGCTACCTTGCCTATGAGTATAACAATGAATGTGTGCTTCCGCTGGCATCGTACATGACGGGCAGTACTGATCCTGAATAGGAGATTAATGCAAGCCTCAGCTATTAATAACCAGAGGTTTATACCAACATGATAGGTTTCATTAACTTTAGGTCTTACACATTTAATTATCCTGGAATCTTTGAACCATATTAATGTCATTTTTCTGCTTTTCCCTCCAGTCGCTCTCTCTCTTAAACTTACCCTCCTACTATTTTCATGGATTGCTTTTATGATTCTATGAACCTAGAACCTATACTTCCACAATTATTCATGTCAAAATAATGGGGTAACAAGTGCGTAACCATAAAACTTTAATTGGATTAGTTGGTCCACCTAGTTCCATCAGGAGTTCAATTTCCTCATCATTGGCTAAAGAAGAATGGTGTGCTCCAAATTAAGAGATAAAAAACACACTTAAAATGAAAGGTACCTGATCAAAGAGATTATCCCTTAAGAACCGTCCTAAAGGCTTGTCAAAGCTCCCATAGTATTTGATACGGAGTAGATGAGCCCGCTCACACACAGATCCTTTCCATACACATCTTGTTGATAAGGAAACCAATATACTTTGATGGTCAGAAGCTGATGGAAGAAAGTCTCCTTTTGAAGAGTCTAT